CCTTGCCGCCTTGCACAATGCTCGCTGGTGCCGCTGGAATGCAGATAGCTGAACAGGTGGGGCAAATTCATGAGGCCGCAAAAAATTTGCCAGCCAACATGGCCAATTCCCAGCGTGCGCAATGCCAGAACACTGCGGCGATTGCACTCATAAAACTGTCCTGACTTCTCCACCACTGGCAGGCTGGTGCCTGCTGAACACTGGCTCTTCATTGCAGCATGTGATTCTGACAGTGGATGCAAGGCCAGAACGTGCAGTTTCAGCAATGGTCAGCTCACCTCCACAGTATTTTACACGAGCAAGCAGAGAAAATCAAATTTCGTAAACAATTCAAGTCCAGTGGCGTCTGAATCACAACTTTCAGCGATTGGGCCATGACAGTCTTCAGAGAACGAGGAATCACTCGAGGGAGCAACTGTCTGAGTTCGAGGCCAGCGCACATCCATCAAAGCTCTCCTCCGAATCCGACTCACTATCGCTCAGTTGAATCCATTAATTTTTATTATGATCACTGTATTCTTATTTTTGGAACGCCATCGTACAACTTGCGCTTCGAGGCGGACTCTGGCACTGCTTCAGCTTCATACACTCCCTCAGCAGCTTCCTGGACAGGTGCTGCGTGCAGTGAGAATCTTCTCTTTGCAGGACGCTTGCACGACCTGCTCTTCTTGTTCCCCATTGTGCATCGCGCTCGAAACTGCAACAGCAAAGAAATCCTTTGGGAAAGAATTTTTTGCACTTTTTTTGCACGTGGCACGGGTCACTGCTGCCATGGCAACAAAATTTGGAAGTAAAAGCGCTTCAAAACTCCCAAACTCCACGGCCACAATCTTGACAGCTCGTAGCATCGCGATGTGTACAATTTTTTTCAACTTTTTAGTGTACGAACATCGATGTGTACAAATTTTTCAAATATTTTCAAATTTCAAACGGTCATATGACTGCAACGGTTGGTCCGAATCGCTTCAAATTTGGAATACTGACACCTCAGAGCATATGCTTTGATTTCCAATAGCAAAAAGGTGACAAATCGAAAGTTGATTTTTTGACCCCTGGAAGGTGGTGTCCCACCTTAAAGAGAGGCACCTAGTACCTGTGACGTGTGTGTGTGTGTGTGTGTGTGTGTCACGCTCCTTATAAAGAAGAGGCACCTGTGACGTGTGTTTTTGTGTCACGCTGAAGCGCTGCGGAGCAGCGCCGCCCTGAGCACGCGAAGCGTGCGAACAGTGTAGCACAGTGTAGCTAGCGGCCGCAGTCTACTGAGCACGCGAAGCGTGCGAATCGTGTAGCTAGCGGAAGCAGCCACAGAAGCACTGAGCACGCGAAGCGTTCGAATCGTGTAGCCACCACCACGTGCTGAGCACGCGAAGCGTGCGAACAGTGTAGGTACGTAGACCCGGGTGCTCGAATCAGAAACGATTTGACAGGTGTGCAATTAATTTATTTCTCATCTGTAAATCTCAACAATGTCAGAATATACTTTTGGAGAGGCGATGGAACAGGGAAGAGAGTCTGGCTTGACCCACCCAGCAGGAATTCAGAATATGGGTGCGCTACAACACAAGCTACAGACGCAGTAAAATTGTCGTATTTCCTTCGGATTTTTTATTTCTACGGTGGTAGCGCTTATACTTATACTATAGCAGACACGATCAGTACGAGTAGCAGTAGCAGCCGCGCGCAGAAGCACTGAGCACGCGAAGCGTGCGAATCATGTAGCCACCTAGCCTAGGCCATAGGTAGCACTAGCAGCCGCACAAGCGCTAGCGCTGCGGACCACGTGAACCGTTCTCTGCAAATAGAAACATCTGCAACAAAAGGATACAAAAGATCTGCACTGACTGCACTCTGCATCTGATCTGCAGTGAAGAGCGCATCGCACTTTTGTTCGTAAGTTTTTGAATTTTTTGAGCCGCTTCATCCGCCACCAGGTGATGGACAACCCTGACCAGCCTCCCGAAGGCGTAACAGACGTCCCTCCGTCTCCTTCCAACGATGAAGAACCTCCCTCACCAGGACTTCAGCGGTCTGGCCACCACCACGTGCTGAGCACGTGTGCTGTTCATGTACTTGCTTCACCCGCATGCCACATTCGGCCAGGCAACGCTGGCGGGGGTGCTGCTAGTGTAGCTATTTGGCTCTCAACGTCTGTTTATCACAACTCCATGAGCGACTCTGACTCACGCTGCTAACTGGAGCTTCACGAGGTGTTTGTCGCGCTGGAAACAAAGCGTCTCTGTAAGTTTGTATCCCTGGTGATGGTTTGGCCTGGAGAGCAGTATATAAGTGGTGCTTTTCAGGCACAATCTTCCTCAGCCTACTCAAGCTGAACTGATGAGGGGTGAATTCCCCGAAACACCGTGTATTGAGCAGGGAGTGGTGCTTTCTTGCAGGTTTGCCGAGTGGAAGGTGCGACGTGCTCCTCGTGTGCTCCGGATGGCAGTCGTGAGTCAGTCAAGTGTCAAGTTCGGCAAGAAGCGTGTGTTCCTAGTTGGAACAATCTTACTTCATGACTATTACCGCCGAAGTCGCAACTTCTAAGTTCGTATAATCCGTCAAGGCCTAATAAAATGGCATCCGAAAAACAAGGGCAGATGCGCAATGAGGCTGTTATATACACACCTGCTATTCGAGGACCATACACAGCGCTTCTTGCCGATTTGGAATAATAATATTTATGTTAGCAGCCACTATAGGACATCTCCCAAAACGGCTCAGCGTTTGCTTGTGAATTTGGTATTCCTCTTGCATATTATTGTCTTGTACTTGCACAAAACTCCCAGTCCACATCATGACAATGGTCTGAGTCCTTTTTTCATGACGATTATCCTGTTCTTTTGGTGTTTTTAATGAAGCATATAAAAGACGATAATTGTCTGTTTTCTCGAGCATCCGCTAGAGCATAATCCGGTCATTTTCCGAGCATAATCCGCTTACCCCTGCTTGGTACCAGGGTCTGGGAGTACATGAACGTCTTCGATGTCTTCCACATGCCGACCGTTTGCATTCTGCGGACCAGAGACTGAATGCCAAGAGCCTGAAGGGAGGTGCAGACGGGTGCCGTTTCTTTTCGGAAGTGACTTCCTCAGCGGTAGCGTTCTTTTACAGTGCTGCTTTCGCGACGGCCAATGTATGTAGATCTACGTGGAGGAGGGCACAGCGCTACGCTTTTACTTTTAAGTTTTAGCCTGTGCTGGGTTTGAACCCGGGACACATTGCGGGTCTGTAGTGCAAGCCACCACCGAGAAGCCGGGTCAGCTCATTGGTTGGATCTATGGCAACAGTCACGTGGGATATGATAATTATCTCGTTACTACGAGTAGACGAATCGATCGAGGGCACCGGTGCAGTCTTAATAATAAGTGGGCCACATAAGCAAGGAGGCAAAGGTGCAGACAACTTGTGTGAGTTCCCGGCATGTAAAGGGGCATATATCAAGAGTAGCAAGAGGACGGGACTTGGCTGAAAACGTGTTACAACGTACATGCATTCCACGTGTTTCCTGACCATCTGCTCCAGAGCACCACTGTTCTATCGGTTGGTGAAGCAGCTAGATGAAAGCATGACTGTACTGGTGATGTCGTATTGCACTGAGTACAGATTTCTACATGACATGACTGTACTGGTGATGTCTTAATGCACTGAGTACAGATTTCTTCACGACATGACTGTACTGATTGACATGCACATGGTGCCAACAACATAGACTTTTCTGATCTTTCAGTTGCTAGTGAGTATAAATTATTGTCGAATGTACACTGCGATTTGACACTGAGGATATATGGGCGAAGTGGTGGCCCGCCGATGCGAATGTATTTGCGTGATGTCACGGTTCCTAAACGCGTCAGGTGATGTGGCCGCGAATCCGGTTAACTTTACTTTACACCGCGCACATTTTTCATCCACTATATATACATGTAAATCCATTGTATGTAGATGCATTGGGGATGTGCTTGTACATGTACATGTATGCCAGTGTCGACGTGTCTGCACATTCTCTGCTGTGCCTCACTGTCCTGCACAGTACAAGCTGTTCATGAACATGAAAAATGGCGTGCCCCACAACGCCATACTCTACGACCTTCTCGATGACATTGCAGAGAGAAAGGACGTGTCCAAGAAGCACCCCGACGTCTTCAGCGCGATGAAGTAGACAATCATACTACTTATTACTAGAGTTCTGGCAGGACTTTATGGCTGAATCAAGGCCGAGTGCATACGGCCAAGGGCGCAGGCCAAGGCGCGTAGCGCCGAGGCCTGCGCCCGCGGCCGTGCGCACGAGGCCTTGATGAAGGCGGAAAGTCCTGGCAGAACTCTATGATCGTGTTTCAGGTTTCCACTTACATCCTTTGAGCCGCGTAGACGGTATAACTATAAGCGCGATACCACATAGCCGGGTGGAGGTTGGGGACGTGGTGGCTAGACCTGTTGCCTTTTTTCTTTGCTCAATGCTCAAGAACAAGTAGGTTGGTCGGGACATGGTGGCTACACTATCACTCCTTTGCTGACACGCGATGATCTTATCAATTTTCGCTTACATCAGTACATGAAGGCTTCGTGCGTAGATCTACTGTGCTACGCGCCTTGGCCAGCGCCCGGGCCTTGGGCCTGCCTGGCCGTACGCTCATCGGAGTCATGGTCATGTTTTCACTGGCATTCTTTGAAACTGTATATAAGCGCGATACCACCTAGGGCATTATCTCAGCATTATCTTACGATGCGTTCTGCTTCTTTAGCATGATCATTTGTGCATGATCAGTATTCTACAAACAACTTGCCGCTGATCATCCGTTTTTCATCTGTTGGCAACCAGTGGCATGAGGTTTTAGGTATAGATTCAATTTGAAAGCGATTTCTGGTTGTGAATGTTGGGAATGGACATTGAATTTCAAGTTGGACAGTGGACGTTGACATGGGATAAGGTGCTTGGAAGCGAGCATGATGCTGAACAATGAATGATGGCTAGCACAGTGTACCACTTTTCATCTTTGATAAGTTAGTCACAACCACCAACCACAGCGAACAACTGTAGTGGGTGCCCATTGAGCATCTCAAAGAGCTTACAGCATGTAGTGACTGGAATTCTGAATAGCCAAATGTGAAGAAGGACAAATATTAATGAGAGAATGTTTCACAACCTAGAGATAACAATGGACCTAAAACTAAAGGTATGATGCCTCACAACACGTTGTGGTCAGCAGTATGCTCCCTGGTACAGGTAGCAGATTTGAAATAAATTGAAATAAAATATCTGAAATTTCAAAAAGATTTTCCTACTAAATTGCCTATCAGTGGACTAGAGCTGTGGAAAAATAAAAGAATTTTTGAGCGAAAATCAATTGAGTTGTGACGATTAGCCAAAAATGCTTTTGGCTATGACTATAATATGAGCCTACATATCTTAGGGCAACACACCAAGTTTAAAAGACGAGAAGCTATCTGAATGGGCAGATTCACAATATTGCTAGTCAATACCTAGAACAAGATAACATTGTGTGATACGTACACCTCCCCTGTGAGACAATGCCTCAACTGATCAGGGAGGGGAGAGGAGGAGGGAGGGAAGGAGTGGTTAGGTGTAGGACGGGAGGGGAGGGGGGTAGAGGATTGGAGGACAGGGACGGAGATGATGAGGATGGGCTGAGGAGAGGAGGATGGGATAAGGGCAGCAAGGGGAGGGGAGGAAGATGCTGTAGGGGAGAGGAGGACACTAGAGAGGAGGAGGATGGGATTGCAAAATGGCATGAAAGATGCATTCTAATAATGTCACAAGCGAGGCACACCACCAACGGAAGAGTACTCCGTGCAGTCAAGCAGTGTTTACGCATACAACAGGGAGAAAGGAATAGTGGCATCAGATAACCGAGTACTAGTCAAATGCCGTTGTGAGTTGTGAGTTTACCAGAAACATGTACACGTGACATCCATAATGTACATGCTACTACGACTACTACAACTACTACTACTACTACGGCTACTACGACTACTACGACTACTACGACTACTACGCAGTGAAGAGTAGCGCACATGTAGCAACAACATGTGGGCGCTGTGGAATACGAGGGACGTGTGAGCTGCCGGGATGCGATTGACAGAACACACGCATGGTGAAGAGTTTCTTGATTCGGGATGACGGGTACCCAAGGCAATACACTCAAACCTGGGAGCTGTGTAGAGAAACTGTCTGGACGATCTTCCATGGCAATAAGCCGGCTACAAGCAACATCAGCCGGATTGCAGCCATTGAGCCATAGTGACTGGGTACGCTTTCCAACGGCCAAAGAGAGTTGGAAAGCTTGTGTCTTTGTGGGTAACTTGAACATTTGGGCTCATGCAAAAATCGCACCGATTTTGGGATTTCCCCACAACTTTTTGCGTCAGCAAAAATGTTGTGCTGGACCGCATTCCTGTCACTTCGCAGTGGCTTTTCGTTGGTGCAGTTTGTATCCCACCCTCCCACCCCTGACTTCTGGGTGTGTGTTTATAGATATAATAGTATCGTATTGGTTTTTCTTATTGGCCATGTGGCTGTTGCAGTTACGACTGCTTTTCTTTTTTAGTTAAAAAACGTAGGGGTGGTGTGTGCGTCGTGGGCCATTGTATGGTTACATACAGCTTCAGATTGTATGGCTAGTGACAGGGGGGTTGAGTCTGCAGGGGAAGAATACAGTGATTGAACTGAAGCTGGATGATGACCGTGTGGTGAGTGTGTGTGGGTTTCGAGATGCCGTCCTGGGGCAGGGATGTCAGTCCTTTAGCTTGGACGGGTGTTGTTACATTCATTGTAACATTTTGTCGTTTTCTGTGTGTTTTGCTGTGCGACTACAGTAGCAGCAGTGTCTTGTGCTAATTTTTTTTATCAGGCCCTATGGGTACAATTATTCAAGAAAGAAAAAAGAAAAAAAAGAAAAATATCAGGAAGGAGATATAATAATATCAATAATAAAGCCATTGCCGAGCCACCGTGCTCACAGCAGAGACTTCTGTGTGTGTTATTGTTGTGAAGTGGACCACAAAGACGCCCTTTTGTTTATTCCGGGAGCCGGTTGGGTAGATTGCAAGCGGTTTATGCGTCCTAGCTTGGAGCATCAAATGCAAATGTCAAGATATCAGGAACCTGGATGCATACAGGGAAAAATGCATAACAAACACAAATCCAATGAAGCGTGAACTATCCACAGCTGAAACTGCCTACAATAGTATCACTGTATGAGTTTCTGATTTCCTGATTTTCTTAATGAAAGAGACTTGCCAGCTCTGAGTCATGACTTTTGGATCCACTTGGATCCATGTTTTGAATGGATCTAGATGCATACACATCCGGGTGGTTTCCTTCACAGTAGAGTGACATATCTGCCGGTAGCGACTGGACTAGGCCCTCCCAGTGAGGAACCCACTTCCGCTATGGAAAAATCCACACCTGCACGGTACACGACCACCACGCCCTGCACTTTGCAATGGGCAGAGCGGATTCAGAAGTCTTTATTTTTTACTTCTGACTTCATCCCTTTCAAGCCCTTATGGAATTGTCCTGGCTATGGTGGTGCTGTGTTAGTATAGGTGCACAGGTTGAAAGAATGTACTGGTGGAGTGCGGAGATCAGTTGATGGTTACAGAACGGCCGATGCCGTCGCGATTTTCTCTTGTCACTTAAAGACCGTTGGAATATATCAGTCGCTATGCTAATTCTTGCTTCGTTGTGCCAGTGGCTGTGAGACTTATCCCCTCACCCCCACCATCAGACGCTGCATCCGCCGCTAGGGTTTACCGGGTGTTAGCGGCCGTCATGAGTTCCCTTCGGGAACGGACGCGATAAATCACTTTACTTTACTTAAGGGCAAAAAGGAGAAGGACAACAATATTAGGAGTTATGACTAACTGTCCACCAATGTAACGAGATCATATACAGTCAGCGAGTGCGACAACACGGCTTTACTTTACGCTTTACAGCACAGTCTTACCTGGTCCTTATGCCTGCTGATCTGACAAGGCAGAATCTGGTGCAGAATTGGACTGATGACAACCTCGAGCCAACGAATCAAATTCAAATAATTGTTCATCAGGCAATGCGTCCTCTGATACTGTATCAGCAGAGCTAGAGACGCCAGCGACAGCTGTGGTGGGTTGGGGTGCAGGCGCAGACAGATCCACAAGTTGTATCCCCTCCCGTACAGCAGGTGGAGATTCATGAGTGCTTCTGGGTAAGTCAGGCCGTGCAGTCAAATTTCGGGCAGGTTCTGTGTTGCGTCTTGGCCGTGGGAGAATTGAACCAGAGTCACTTCGCAGTCTCTGCAAGTGACCACCTGTGTAGCAGTGAAAGCATGGTGAGGGTGAATAGAAAAAACACTTGATTTAAAAAGCGTTATACACAGTATTAGTGTCACTGATATTACCATGCAAGTTAACGCGTTTACAGTTAAAAGTGTTTAATTCCCAAATGGATTTTCTGTTCGTAGCGTTAATTTATTTTTGTCTTCTCGAAGATTGTTTGAATTAAAAACTAAGAACAATACAGTAAAACCTGCAACCAAAGACTGGCACCGTGACTAGCGACCACCGTGACTAGCGACCACCGTGACTAACGACCACCGTGACTAACGACCACCGTGACTAACGACCACCGTGACTAACGACCACCGTGACAAGCGACCACCGTGACTAGCGACCAGCCTGGTTCTACCGACCACTTCACCAGGCACGGACACTCTCACATGATTCAAAAATGCACTGTGGCTATCGACCAGCTGCTCGGCACGTCCAGTGGCTGCCTTTTCTTGTCCCAGAGTCGATTTTTGACCCGTAACTAGCGATCGCGATGTAGGAAATCAAACGTTGTTCAAAGCTCCTTCTTTGAAGTGTTTTCGATTGTCCATGGTCTTGAACGGACTTTTTTTGATATTGCATTGAAAAAATGAACGCAGCTTCATTTGTTTGTGGACTGCACTGCACTTGTCATGGTTTCGAGTGCTTTCAAGAACGAACATGATAGGAAATGTCTTGAGAGAGCATCAAAAGTGCCCTCTGATCGATGCTACTGCTTTTTAGGAGAAACAAAGACTGAGCTGCTCTGTTGAAGTACAATCACACACCTCAGTCACACAGATGAACACTGCATTGCTAGCATGCTACGTAATGCCGGCTGGGGTTTGCCCGGTCAGCACGGTGATGTATTGCTCCGGTAAGATCACTTTTGCTGACACCATTGTTCCACTTACGGTCCTGGTAGAGTCAGGGGCTAGTGTCACATTAATCGACTCCTCTGTTGTACCCACCCATGTTCGACCATCTTTGCGTCCCACTAGCTCCATTGGTGTAGGGGCATTGTATAGTGCTAATGCCAGTAGTAATGGTACATCGATAACTCCTTTGGGTGTGGTGACTGGAACGTTTCAACTGGGTTCTCTTCGGTTTGAGGGACCAGTGATTGTAGTTGATGACTTACGAGAATCATGTCTATTCAAGGGTCAGATGAGCCCGGCTAACTCAGTCGGTAGAGGATGAGACTCTTAATCTCAGGGTCGTGGGTTCAAGCCCCACGTTGGGCGCCAATGTGGTGCTTATTTCCCCCCGCTCCCCGCCACACAACGACTCTCTGACTCATTAGGTTCAGCAAGAATATTACACTGTTATTTATCACTGAGAATAACTCACAAACTGGTGGGCGAGAGAACGGGGAAGAAAGACAAAGAAATAATAAACAACCAACAGTTATAAACAGAGAAAAGGGCGAACACATCGAAACGACCAATGAGCGACCAGTACGTACGATACACGTGACAAGAACCAAGACAACAACACCGTGGACGAATCACACCACTCTCTCGCACCCGAACCTGACTCGCACAGCGCATGCTCCACATAGTCCACGCATGCGCAACAACTAGTCAACAAACGCACTCGCACAGACGGAAGTAGATCCTCACACTCTGACAACACATACAACACATACACCACATATACCACATATACCACGTCATACGCACCACACCCATATACTGCACACAACGCACCACACCCGTACAGACAGAAGACCATATTTGACACCGGACAGGACGAGACAGCGAGACCAGAGACAACAACGGGTGCAAATAATAAGCGTATCAAATTTCGCAACAATTGTTCTAGAATATTCCAGAGCTGTGAACTGTGATTGGTTAATTATGCTAATGTTTCTAGAATTTCGTCGGCGACCGGTTTTTGTAGATAGCTGATTAGTTAATGACCTAAAACATGGCTGCCGCTCGCCGTGTGTTTTGTCTTCTTGCATTGTTCTTTTCTTGTGCTCTTTCACTTCTTATCTTTACTTGCCGAGTGTGCAACTAATATTCTGTCCTTACGAGTATTCGTAAAACCACAAAGTGAGTGCTGTATTTGAGTGAAATTTTCTCTGAGGGCCAGCTACTACAATATGTGTATGGCTGGGTCCGGCTTTGGAGCACAAACCTTTACAGTCCACCGTGTTGGCAGGTATGGTGAAGACGCGGCGGCCATGTTCATTCCACACTCCTTGAGGCTGGTTGACTTTGCCGTGCTGTTTCACTTTGCACGGTGGTGCATGGCCATACCTTTTGTTGCAAGGCTCATTACAAAGAGGGCAAGGCGTTGTGCAGTAATGCTCCTCTTTGGGTTTACCGCAGCTGTGCTTATTGCAGACTTTACCATCTGGTGGGATCTTGTTGGAGCACTGTTTCCGGTAGCTGCAATCGGACTGGTGTTGTGAAGAAGATGCTGACAGCTGTCCTTTGCTAGAACTAGCTTGGCCCACACAAGGTGCATTGTAGCACCTGCCGAGAACAGTGCACATCGCTTTGCATCGGCGCTTCTCACAAGATGAACACAGGTGGCGGCGTCCTTCTTCACCTATGATCTGGTGGAGATGATGGCCAATCGGCTTACGGCAGAAATCACCGTCGCCATCTTCTGTGCAGAGTGTGCATGGTTGATTGCATAGAGGGTGTCGTCCGTTCTTTCTTCCAATCAAGATGTCGCATACCTGGTGATCATGGCCGTCTGGTAGCAGACAAGGCATGGAGAAGTTGTCACTGCCATCTTGTCTAATATCTTTTAGGCAGAGCTTTTCGCCATTGGAGAGCAGATCAAGACGCTTCTTTGCACACTGCCGGAATTTCCTTGAGTGATTCCCAACCCGTTCAAAAGCCCACATTTCAAGCCAGTCTTTACCCAACTTTCTGCGAGCATTCACTTGTTTTCTGTGCTCCTGACTAATGTTCCGTTTGAACTCGTCCACGGTTGCAGAGCTCTTCAACAACTCGGTTGCCAACCGCCGCAGTTGTTCCAGGTCACGCTTGGGCAGGTCTTGTTTGTGCCAGGCATGATTCTCAAACTTGAACGGGATGCACGCCGCTGGCTGATAATGCCCAGCCAATGGCATGGCAATGCCATCACTGGTAGCACCCAGTTGCAGCCTGCCTCCAGTTGTGATCAGTGTGTCCAGGTCGTTCAGCAGTGACTCATACTGTTCACATAGTGCTGCACTCAAGCACAGATGATCAGCACACTCCACCATGCTGCCCCTCTTGAACAGAAGAAGTCGTAGACAGTTGAGGAACTCCGCGCCGTGCCGCCATGTAGCCTTCCCTGGCTGCCGATCGCGGCGAGGCGTCAACAGCCACTTCATCATTTCACCCTTGGTCAATACGGCAAAACCAGCCTCTGGGGCCGGTTGCCTGGACTGGGACGGAGACAAATCGTTGGTATCTTCTGTGGCCTCCGCTGCTGCCTCCGCATCCGCTTCATTCCTCTGTTGACTGGTATTGGCATCCAAATAGTACTGAGCAGCGTCGTCATTAAAGTGCATAGAATAGGCTGTGGCGTAGTCCTGCAGCTGATCTAGATGTGCTCTTCCCGAGTTCAGCGGCATGCCGCCTGGCAGCTTGCCGGCATCCTTGCTCGGCTCACTGACCAGGAGCAGGTGTCCGGCAGGGAACGCAGCCTCCATGCCGCGTCCCATGCACATGTGCTCCATCAGGTCCTTGACGGCCGGCTCAATCTCTTGTGCACTGGAGCGGTCTGCTTCGTCACACGTGATCACAGTGACATGCGCCAGCTTGTGGGCGACAACGAGTGCCGGGCATTCGTGCGGACTGCTCGGAGTACTTGCTCCGGTCGGCGTAGTCCGGCACACGGCGAAGAATAGCAGCAGCGTGCTGTGGTCAGCCATGACACGATAGCCCACGTGTATGCTGCATTCTGGGCACATCCCCTCAGGCCCGTCCGCAATGCGCTCAGCTTGGGCCGATGCACTGCAAGCCGTGTTTGTTGCAAACGCCATGCAGCCCATCTCATTCAGAAGAGTGAGCGCTTTCTGAGAAGCTGAGCCGATGCCAGTGCATGTGAGCACTCTGACGTTGCCATGCCATGCTCGCAACAGGCGCTCAAGCCTAGTCAGCCCACTGCTGCAATGCGGAAAGACGGTCTGTAAGCACGGGCCATTGAAGCGGATCTTACCACTGCGTGTGCGCTGAGCGTACTGCCCCGTCTTGGCAGTGCGCAGCCACTCGGTTGCATCGGTCATGCCGACGTGTGCTGTGCCGTGCAACCCTGCTCCAGTGCTACGAACGGGATTCACGGTCTCGGAGACAATTCCTGAGGCTGAATGCACCCAGTAGCTGTCGACGGGTGGTGCTCGAGAGAGCAGCTGAGGGCATGTTTCCTGGAAGGTTGAAAGTGTCTGGAAGCTACATGTAGGTTTGATCGCAACGTGGACATGGGTTGATGGTGTGCTGCTGGCGCTGCTGTTGGCGCTGCTGCTGGTGTTCTTGCTGCTTTTGCTTGTGGATCTGTCCGGATAAGACATGACCTCATCAGATTCAGACGTGAACAGGTTGTCAATCCAGAGTTGCATGACCTCCTTAACATTACTCTTCTCGAAGAACTGCTGAGAGACGTCGAATACACAATACAGGTTAAGTGGTGAAGTACTGTTGACGAATGGACCGTTCTTTGGAAACCTTTCCAAGCAATCATGGAGAAGTTGCAGGGGGTAGAAACAGTCGGATGGTTTGACAGGTGGAGTGGATGGCACTGCCTCTTCCACAGGCGGCCTCCTTCCTTCACGCTGATGTGTGTGTTTGTCCCGGAGTGTCTCAGCATTCCATTTGGCTTGCATCTCTTCTTGCATCATGTTCTCTGTCTGTTTCTTGGAGAAGAAGCAGATGAGCGTGTTGGCAGCCTCCAGTGCAGAGCGCATGGAACAGCAGTTCCGCTCGTGCACGAAAGCGTCTTGGTCTTGCGTTCTGCTGTCAATCTCAGCACATCCGTCACTGTTGCGTTCAGAGGAGCATGGCGATGCATTGTCCGGGTCGTCACTTGCACAGAGGGAAACCGCCAGGAGCACGAGGTCAGAGGGAGTGCTGGGCTCGTCCATATTGCGTGGCTGTGGCAAGCCCTGGGATGCGTGCTGGTGCAGCGCATACACACCTCCGCCCTGCGCATCGGCAATTAGCTTGCGGTGCTGCTGTGCCGCAGTCTCATTGCGTGCCGCGGCTGAACCTGACATGGACGTCTGCATCTGCTGCATTCCGTTAAGCATACCGGGCACATCGCCACACAACGCCACTATACATGGCGGCACTGCTGTGGCACTGGCTTGGCCCGCTCGGTCACCTGGCGTTAGTTCAGCCTGGTGTGCTTCGTGAGCGTGCATCAGCGACTGCTTCAGAGGTGAGAACGTCTGCTCCAACCGGATCTGTGAGCGGTCATCAACGATCAGCACGCTGTTCTCCGGTGACGCTTCTGCTGTTGCCGGGTTGCCAAAGGATCTGGCATGTATCCAGCGATACAATGTGGTACCTGCACGAGAAGGCACATGCACACCAACAAGCAACAATGTAATGAGCACTGATACTCATCTAATCTATGACACCTCATCTATAAAATAAATACAATAAACAGCATATGCACTGGGAAACCCGGCCATATATGCAGGGGCGTCCAGTGTCTGCTCTAGGATTGTAGGACAGCCGGGTACACGTGTACCTGGCGCAACTATTTCAACCGGGTCGTAGCCGGGTACACATGTACGTGTACCTGGCGCAACTATTTCAACCGGGTCGTAGCCGGGTACACATGTACCTGGCGCTGTCTCACCAGCCGAGGCACATGCTTTAACTGGTTGGTTGGTTTATTTTAATTCGGACAATAAACGGGAACTTAGGTCCAATGATATAAAGGCGAATGGATAAGCCGCATTTAGAAAAGAGAGGGCAGGAATTAGAAAATTACGAAAGAAGAAGAAGTATCTGACACATACAAGCCATGTGGTCAGTCCTTTCAAAGTTCGAAAGTGTAAAGTACCAACAGGGTCACAGGTGACCCGGTACTATATTTTCAACCGGGTCCAAGCGCCGCCCAACCGGGTGGATTACCCGGCTCACCCGGCGCTGGAGCAGACACTGGCGTCGGAACCGGTGCGGCAGGTCCGGCCAAAGCCGCACCAATGCCGCCACCAACATCTTGTGACTTTCGAAGCAACGAAATATGGGCTATTTGGGCCCAAATTTCCCTAAGATTGTCCCGGGGGGGGGGGGGGGGGACCCCCGGACCCCCACCTACTCATGCGGCCGCACCAATGTGGAATACCTTCCGGCGTCCCTGATATGTACTGGGAAATCCAGCCCTATGCAGTGGGACGCCCGGAAAATACCGATGAGCAAAATCAGCCGGATTGAGTCTCACTACCTTTGTAATTTTCGGATCAGGACATACGGTATGTCTGGTCCTCTGGGTATCAGAATTGCAAGTGTCTGGGAGTCGTGAGCTGCATCTGTGCCTTCATCCCTCTTTAAAGGCTGGTGGCATTTGTTTTCGGCGGAAGAATTCCTTTTCTGTTCGGGGAAATTCATTTTCTGTGGGATGTGTTGGGGGGGGGGGGTCAGGCTGGCTGACTCGCATGTGAAGTATGGAATTTTCTTAACATACGGTACATTTCTGATGACCAATGAGAGATAGATTGTTAATGACTATGTACGGTAGGTTCCAATGACCAATAAACATAACACTGTACGAGTAAACGTAGGGTACGTTTCCGATGACAAAAGAGAGTTAGATTGCTTGTGTCTTGGTCAACCATTTCCTAGCCAAGGTGCTCACAGCAAAGATCAGAATTATGAGTGTGTGTGTGTGTGTGTGTGTATTTGTGAAAATGAACCATACACACACACACACACACACACACACACACACACACGTCCACACACACACACACGCACACACACACACGCACACGCACACACACACACACACACACACATGCACCGGCGTGTGCGTAAATTGACCTGTGCAGACAACGAATGCAGACAACATCCCTTTATTACCTGTGGTAGAACTGTGTGTGTTTGACTGATGGAGACGCAGGTTGTCATCAACATCCCTTGCTATGGCCTCAATGCGCTTCGCTTTGTGCATCTCCAAGTCCTTGTTTCGTGCTAATACTCTGAGAAGCATGACAAACATGTGGCAGTCGTCCAACTGGGAATCGTACGAATGTGTTTTCCCTGGCTCCATGTCATCCTCAAAGCAAGCAGCCTTCAATGAGTTGAGCCACGTTAGAACAGAGCGTTCATCTTTGTTAATTTGTTTATAGAAGCATTGCTCCGCCGCATCATGTAGCTGGCTGGCATCATCGATGATCTGACTGATGATCGGAAATTTCCCAGATACAAGTTCGTCCCACGGGTCATAGCCATTGGGCAGTGACTCTGTTGGTGACTCCGTCGGTGCAGTGCCATTGGCAGCACTTGCTTCTCTCCCGGGCACTGCCATTGCCTGTCACATTGCCAAGAAGTAGAAAATCCAGAAACGTTACAAGATCACAACTGATTTGATATGTCTGACCGCCAAAATAGCTTCGATAAAGAATGTAAAAAATGTGCTGTGAGCAGTTGAACCAGACTGAAATGTAGGCAACGCAAGGGGCCTTCTTTATCACAAATTCGGCCGGACAAAAACCACTAGAAAGTTTCACCTGGTGGACACGCCGCTGTCATATCCATTGAATTGGATTTCATTTCATACCTATCACGGTGGGGATACCTAACACCACTGAAACGGTCTCTATCAGCCATGTGACCAGCAGCAGCTGAGAGTGCTAGTGTGTGTGTGTGTGTGTGCATGCACACCACCAGCGTACATTGTACCGCCGCCTGTCAGTGCATGTGGTACACACACCTGTACAGTGCTGCAAGAGAGAAAGCAAGTGTGAACTACTAGCATGCCAGCAGCACTCCCAACACTATCACACTACGCAAGCAACACTTGCCTCGTACTCTTGATAAAGAGTTACTTGCCAGAAAGGTTGTCACAAGATCATTATTGCCAGGTCGTCGCAATGATGAGCAATGATACATGGCAAGTATTAGTCATGATAGTCTACATCCTTTTTCAGGGTGTGCAGACTTCACTGCAGCCAATTCATGCTGCTAACGGAATTGTCCATATCCTGCTCATTATGAGCTCATGATGATGCTGTCAGGTCAACTTTCAACTTTCAATCAAATAGAGCGGCTTACGAGAGTGACCGTTTATACATGGTATGCCTTGTATGGAAAGACAGCCCAGTGCATGTGGCGTCACTCTGTACAAACACCACGAATGATGCTGCAATTGTGGCATTGCCCCGTGAAGCACGCACAGACTGAGCCCACTATGTAGAATATGGCTGGCCGCATACCTTGCAAAGCGATTGGTCCAGCCCGCCCAACAGGCTGCTTGGTCACCGGTGACGTGACACACACACTAGTGGGCACCGTTGTGCGTGCGCATAGGTGTAAGCGCGACTGCAGCACCTTGACGGGAGACCCGGACAGTCCAGCTGCCTACGTGCCCAAATAGTTCACCTGCAGAACACACGCAGCGGGCCACGAACACACAGTCATCACAGCAAACAGTACATGTAGTAAGAGATCAGCTGCGTGAAGAGAGCCGTGATCTCTGGCACTGAACCATCATGGCATCAAAGGCTCTAAGCATTATCAAATTTGAATCTACACATATTACATTTACATATTTAAATAGTACAAATCTAATGTTGCCTGTGCCTGTGTATGGTGGGTCGCTAAGGGCCTTCCGTAAATACCGATATCTATTTATAAACGAAAACTAGTCGTTTCTCTTCAACCCCCTCCCCCTTCCCTGAGAAACGAACACATACAAATGGTACATAGTATCGATATTTTTGGTCTTTTTTCTGGACATGCTCACACATGCAAAATGTACATCGATATTTTTCGAGAAACGAACAGGCGCTCAACCCCCTCCCCCCTAAATGACTAGTTTTCGTTTCTAAACGAGAGACCTTGGAAGCTCAGGGCCCTACGCTATGCTTTTTTGCTTGCTCATCATGCATGTGACGTGTCAAAGCTGTGTGAACCCTGGCTAGCGCCAAACGATACTGAAGTAACGTCTGTTGCATAGCTACGGGATTAATATTTTTTGTTTATTTTTAATTTTTAATTTTTTGTGTCACGCCTTGTGCTAGCCCGTATTTGTCCCGTACCGTACCGTACCATCAAAGACAGCTGGCCACAAACAGCTGGCCACAATATTTTTTGTTTGTTTTTGCCATCGTCATGCCTGGCGCTATCCCGTACCTGTCTCATTTCTGCCGATCACGGGCGTTCTGGAGTCGACGGGATGTCTGTCCTGACGTTTCCTGTGAACGGTAGGCATATGCGGATAATGCCGGCAGAAAAATTGGCAAAATTCGGTACTTTTTGGTAAGTTTCATGCATGTTTGGTATGTGGATAAAGAAATGGAGCAGAATTTGAGGAATTGCCCGCCATAGGTTTGTATGGTTCTTCCAATTTCACTGCTTTTCGAGCAGAATCTGCCACCTTTTCGAGCATTATCCGCACACCCCTAGTGACCGGCGCTGACTCTGCCGATCACGGGCGTTCTGGGGTCGACGCGATGTCTGTCCTGCCGTTTCCTGTGACCGGCGCTGACTCTGACGATCACGAATGTTCTGGAGTCGACGGGATCTCTCTTTCGACGTTTCCTGTGACCGGCGCTGACTCGCCCGTTCAGGATTATTTTGGAGACGACGGGATCTCTCTTCCAAAGTTTGTTTTTGCTGACGCGTCCTGTCACCTATTCGGCAACTAATGTCCATTCTAATTGAGTTTCCTCGTCTCCCTACTTCGTATTTCTTTCCAAAAAATCTCCCTATAGAGCAGGGAGTCGTTTACATAATACGAATCCGTGCTAAACATCTATATACGTTATAATTATTATGCTATCGGCCTACATGCGATTCCCCGACCGGTCGACAGGCGACCCAGCCAGCCTGCTAGTGGGATCTCGGCCTCGCACACAAATCCACACAAAATGCTACTGTACTATCGGCCTGAATGCATTCCCCCGATACACATATATACTCATTCTCTTTATGGTACCGTACTCTTGATGGTACGGGACATCAGGTACGGGATAGCGCCAGGCATGTATACCGAAGGCACAAACAAACAAAAATATTGTGGCCAGTTGTCTTTGCTGGTACGGTATGGTACGGGACAGATACGGGATAGCGCCAGGCGTGACACAAACAAACAAACAAACACCAAATTAAAGCTGTGTGGACCCTGGCTAGCGCCAGACGTTACTGAAGTAACGTCTTCTGCATAGCTAAGGGAATAAATATAAATATCTATATTTACAGATGGCCCCTAAAGGAGAATTGACAGTACAAACTTACAATGCTCCGACAACGTACCGTATTTCCTCGATTAATAGACCCAGTCTTTTTGTTTTTTAAAGAGGGTTGGACCCCGCCCCGGTCTCTTATTTGGGCATGGTCCATTATTTGAGCACGGTCCACTATATTTATTATTATTATTTATTGCAACATCTCAAGACTCGGCGGAAACACCGGCCAATATTACGAGAGTGGGTGATTGCCAACCACGGCGATAAATAGAAAGAAGGGGAGGGAAAAAGAAAGAGTAGCAAAACGAACAGCAACAATAACTCCGTAAAGAAAGATAATGTCAAATAAAAACAGTGAAAAACACAGAGACGCAAAGGACATGTGGATAATGAGCTATGCATGTCGTAGTAAATAAGGGGCGGCACGGATCTTAAACAGGCGGAGTGAGGTCAGGTCCTTAACTTCTCTGGGTAGAGTGAGCCAAACAGAATAAGCAATAAAGAGAGGGGAGCGCAAAAGAGTGGATGAGTTACACTTAGGGAGTAAGAGTGAGTTTCTAGTTCTTAGAGAAGAGAACCAATTAAAACACATGAGATGAGGTGGGCACAACTCAAGCTTAATAGAATGGACAAGAGAAGCCAGGTGTGCACTGCGTCCATGTGATAACGGGGTTGTGTGAGCGATTTTATAAAGGGCGGATGATGAGAGCATGCGGGGTTGACGGAGGAGAATTTTAAGGATTTTCTTGTGATGTATTTCAAGCTTTGCAGCAGCGGAAGAGGATAACCCAACCCAAGACGTATCTGCATAATGAAATATTGGGCGAAGGTAGGCGAAATAAAAAAGAAGCTTGCAAGAAAGTGGGAGGTAGGAGCAGTGGGGGGAGAGAATTCCTAAAGATTTACTTGATTTTTTACAGATATATTCGATGTGAGGTACCCAAGAGAGTGCAGAGTCAATCACAATGCCAAGGTGTTTGTGAGAAGACACTATGTCAATTGGATTTGGAAAGTTGGCATGGATGAGGGTTGTGAACTCCGGCTGGGGCGGGAAGAGCATGATCTTTGTTTTTGATAGATTTGGGGACAACCTCCAGGACGACATCCAGGAAAGAACTTCCTGAATGCCAGCACGCAAGTTGTTTTTCAGGCCAGTGAGGGAAGCTGATGAGGTGAGAAGGGTCGTGTCGTCAGCAAACAGAGACGTTCCAGGCAAGACTGCAGGTAAGTCGTTTACGTAAATTATAAATAGTAGGGGACCAAGAATTGATCCTTGAGGAACGCCCGACAATACTGGCTCTGCAGCCGAGGATGTGCCAAGCACAGTTACGTACTGATAACGCCCAGAGAGATAAGATTTCAGCCAGGAGAGTGGCTGTTTGCGTACCCTGAATGCATGCTCGAGCTTTGCCAAAAGTCCTCGATGCCAGACGGTATCAAAAGCCTTGGCCAAGTCAAAGAAGCAAATGCCAGCAAGCGCTCTGTTATCCCTATGCTGGCACACCTGCTGCACGATGCGGGTCAGTTGAAGAGAGGTGGAGTCGCCTTTACGAAACCCAGATTGTGCGGGACTCAGAAACGGCGAAACATGTCTGTATAAGTGGTCATAAAAGATGCGTTCACATACTTTGGACACGCAGGGAAGAAGAGAGATAGGGCGGTAGTTTGCAGGTTCGTGGCGGGAACCTTTCTTGAATACAGGTATGACTTTCGCTGTTTTCCATGCGGAAGGGAATATGCCCGTGGTAAATGACATGTTGAAAATATGGCACAAAGGGAATGCTATGGATGGTGCCAGGGCCTTGAGGACCCGGTTGGGGATGCCGTCAGGACCAGACGCCTTGCACGTCGGAAGCTTCTTCAGATGACGCCGGACAGTGGCAGTTGTGGTGATGACGGACGTGAAACAAGCTGAGGGCTCCGAGGGGGTGAGAATAGGGGGAATAGAGAGCAACGGGTCATCTGGCCGAGTCACAGAGGCAAACTGGGCGTTTAATGCCGTAGCTTTGGCCAAAGGGTCAGCCGCCTGCTGAGTCCCTGTTGTGAGTGACGGAATTTCCCGTGATACGTTTCGAATTCTTGCTTGTCTCACAAACTGGTGAAGCGATGGACGGTGGACATATTGTCATCGGCACATCGCTGGAAATGGTGGGTTTTTAACACGTCATAATATAGGTCCACTATATTTTCATCGGCACATCGCTGGAAATGGTGGATTTTTAATGGTGTACTAGCTGTGCTAGTACTTGTTAGCAACAATCCGAACTAGCGCACACACTGCACTGCATTGCTTTGTACTGCATTCAAGACTGACGTCATGCGCTTTGTTTTGCTGCGTAATCACAAATGGCACCAGCCCATTTTGCGGAAAGAAAAACAAATCTTGCTTGCCCTGTTGTGCTCTTCCAGACAACGGATCGTGCTTCAGCAGTGTTTCTTTTCCTTTCGTAGCTTTGCTGCCAGCCCGAGTGTCACCTCGACACTGTATTTCTTCAGTATGTCTGACCTAACTGTCGACACTGTCAAGGCAATGCCTTGCCAAGCCCCCGCGGCGAGCCTTCTCAGCGCGGCTTGAATCCGAAAGGAAACTTAGTAAAAGTATTTTACAGGACCGTTTGCTGGCACACTAGCCCTTGGTAGTGAGGTCTGCTCCGGCCAGGAGAACCAGCAACATGACAGTGCGGACACGGCTCGCGAGCCCAGAAGCCCGACTTGCACCAATGCCTCCTCCGCCAGCTCAGGTGACGCGGGCTCAACATGGGATCTGCGCTCCCGTAGATCTACGTGACGAGGTGTAGTCGGCTTTGTCGGCCGCCATTTTATTATTATCGGAGAGCATTGTGCCGCTCCTCACCCAAGGCCAAGGCAATGCGGCTGCTGCCGCCACTACGCCAGGCCAAGCCCTTGTAACCCACCCGATCAGCCACCTGCACCAGCTGTGCCCAAGGCTGTGCAAGAACGTATCTTGCGAGGGGAGTTCGTAGATTTTTCAAGTTGGTTGCCTGAAATTCTTGCACACTTCCAGCCCAACATTCCGGCTGGTGCACAGCCCGAATAACGATAGCCAGCTAAATATCGTTGAGTCGGATGACCGTACGCGAAGCAGGTGCGTCGCAAGGTTCACGATAATTATACAATCATGTAACTACCCGGCTCGAGGCATGGACCACATACATGTCTGTTATCACGGCTGCTGCCCTACACCGCACTGCTGAACTGCTGAACTGATTGCGTACCAGCAGTTGATCCTGACTGCTAACCGCCAGTTCTTCCCAAGCGCGTGGCTAGAGTACGACCGCCAGCTGCGGCTGCTCGTGGCCCAGTAACCAGGCACGAAGAGGTTGGACACCATCGACGTGAACCTATGGCAGATAGCTGTCACAGGCCATGCACACCCAAAATGCGCTCAATGTAAGACGGCCCATCCAGGGGCGGTTTGTGTCCTTTTCGTCCCCAAGCCAGCAGCATTTACCTCCAGTGGTCGCAACCATCCCAGCGACAGCCAAGAAATCTGCCGCAACTTCAATGGAGGTCGCTGTTCTTCGTCGTCGTGCCGCTTCTCCCACACCTGCAGCCAGTGTGGCAAGGACCACCCATGCATCATGTGCAACCAGCAGCAGCGCGGAGCCAATCGGCCACCCCGCCGCTCCTAGCAGAATGGCTACCGAATAGCTTGACTCGGTACGTAGCTTCTTTCCTATACACTCTGCAGACACCACACTGCTAGCTGACCACTTTGCCCGCCTGTTACGTAACCACTCATATCAATAATGCGTTGCGTATGTTCTCCATGGGCTGCGCCGTGGCTTTACTCTTGGATCTGCCGGCCAACACGACATTTCGGTTTTCTCTAATAATCTACCCTTGGCTTTCACTCACTCGGCATTTATATCCGAGCAATTAGCTGCTTCCTGCGCCCGCAGCGAGACCACAGGCCCATTTCCGTCACCTCCATTTCAGTTCATGCGCCGCTCTGGTATTGGTGCCATCCCCAAAAAGAACGGCAAGCTGCGAATGATCCACCATCTGTCTAGTCCGGAAGGCACCGGCGCGAACGACAGCATTCCTGCCGAGCCGCTCTCTCTGCACTACGCGAGCATTGACAACGCGATCAACATCATCATGTCATGCCCACAGCCTGTGTATTTGTCCAAGCTCGATGTACGCAGTGCATTTCGGCAGATCCCAGTCCGCCGTCAGGACTTCGCTGGGAAGGCTCCTACTACTACGAGCGCTTTCTGCCTTTCGGCCTCCGCTCCAGCCCAGCCGTCTTTGACTCAGTAGCCACAGCAGTCAACTGGATCATGCAGCACGAGTTTGCTATAGATCACCGGCTTCATTACCTCGATGACTTTCTCGATATCTCCACTGGTTTGGCTGCAGCCAACCAGCAACTCACCACCCCCCTCCGGGCATTCACGTATCTCGGCACTCCTCTTTGCTCCATCCCAGCTCGAGGGCCATCACCATCATTGACCTTGGTATTTTCCTAGACTGCGGCTACCAGAGGACAAGCTGTCCGAGATCCGTGCGCCACTCATGGCTACTATCAGCGAGCGCAGCATCGGCCAGCGTCAACTCGAGTCCCTCCTGGGGAAGCTCACTTTTGCTGCCCGAGTCATCGTTCCTGGACACACATTCATGCATGAACTATGATCAGCGTGCCCTGAACTGTATCTGTGTATGCGAGTGCGGTGCATAAAGCCCACCTTGAGAATGGGTTTGCCGGCCCCTTAGTAGATGCGTGGCTTCTGAAGAGGGTGTTGAAGGGCATCCAGCGATGCCATGGTACGGCTGTACTCACCCCTCGCCTTCCTATAACTATGCCAATCCTACGACACCTGACGGATGCACGCCGGAAAAGTAGTATCCTGAATGGCCATGACAAGCTGCTCTACCAAGCCGCCATGCTGCTTCTTTGGATTTCTTCGGTGTGCTGAATTCACTAATGGCATCACACGGGGCTGTACTAGCTCCCCTGGTGACGGACGCTTGCAACTCTTCCTGCTTTCATCCAAGACGGACCCATTCGGTAAAGGCGTTACTAGTGACATTGGCCCGTCTGTACCGCCGTACTGCCCAGTCCGTGCCATTGTTAGCTACCCATTTGTCACTCGTCGCGAGGGACCAGAGCAACTCTTGTTCGTACTCTCGAACAGACAGCAGCTGACCAGGCAGTCATTCACAGTAACAGTATGGTCTCTTGTCGCTGCGGCCGGTGTACCATCCCAGTCGAACTACTCCGGGCATTCGGTCTACATTGGTGCAGCCACCACCGCTGCTATGGCTAGTGCCCCGACTCCTTCTTCCGAGTGGCAGGTCAGTGGAAAGAGCGATGCGTGTCTATGCTACATCCGGACTACAACAAGCGCTAAGCGCCAGCTATCGTCCCGGCTTGCTGCCGTGCCATGGATGCCATGATCCCCAACTCGGGTGAGTAATGAGCTACTGAACTCTAGCTGCGCAATGCTTGCCTGTGCTGACATAAATTGACCCTTGCTGTGCGTCAATAGTGCTTAGCTAACGGAGTGCTGGTTTCATGGGTCCACTCTCACAACTGGTGTTATCTAGCTATTTGCTGCGGCTCTGCCTTGCGCTATATTACATCCATTTAGCATTGCAGCTCTACGTTGAGCTAACAGCAGCTCTACTTTGAGCTAACAGCAGCTCTACTTTGAGCTAACAGCAGCTCTACTTTGAGCTAACAGCAGCTCTACTTTGAGCTAACCGCAGCTCTACTTTGAGCTAACAGCAGCTCTACTTTGAGCTAACCGCAGCTCTACTTTGAGCTAACCGCAGCTCTACTTTGAGCTAACAGCAGCTCTACTTTGAGCTAACAGCAGCTCTACTTTGAGCTAACAGCAGCTCTACCTTGAGCTAACAGCAGCTCTACTTTGAGCTAACAGCAGCTCTACTTTGAGCTAACAGCAGCTCTACTTTGAGCTAACAGCAGCTCTACTTTGAGCTAACCGCAGCTCTACTTTGAGCTAACAGCAGCTCTACTTTGAGCTAACCGCAGCTCTACTTTGAGCTAACAGCAGCTCTACTTTGAGCTAACAGCAGCTCTGCTCTGAGCTAACAGCAGCTCTGCTCTGAGCTAACAGCAGCTCTACTTTGAGCTTCAAACCAGTTGTTTCGAAACCAGCACTCCTCAATCCAAAGATGCCTCTTTGTTGACTTGTTTGTGTGAGGGATGGGGCTAATGGTGTACTAGCTGTGCTAGTACTTGTTAGCAACAATCCGAACTAGCGCACACACTGCACTGCATTGCTTTGTACTGCATTCAAGACTGACGTCATGCGCTTTGTTTTGCTGCGTAATCACAAATGGCACCAGCCCATTTTGCGGAAAGAAAAACAAATCTTGCTTGCCCTGTTGTGCTCTTCCAGACAACGGATCGTGCTTCAGCAGTGTTTCTTTTCCCACCATCCCTCCCTAACCAACTTATTCACACCATCATAATTATCGTACCCACTAATCGGGTCCACTCTCACAACTGGTGTTATCTAGCTATTTGCTGCGGCTCTGCCTTGCGCTATATTACATCCATTTAGCATTGCAGCTCTACGTTGAGCTAACAGCAGCTCTACTTTGAGCTAACAGCAGCTCTACTTTGAGCTAACAGCAGCTCTACTTTGAGCTAACCGCAGCTCTACTTTGAGCTAACAGCAGCTCTACTTTGAGCTAACCGCAGCTCTACTTTGAGCTAACCGCAGCTCTACTTTGAGCTAACAGCAGCTCTACTTTGAGCTAACAGCAGCTCTACTTTGAGCTAACAGCAGCTCTACTTTGAGCTAACAGCAGCTCTACCTTGAGCTAACAGCAGCTCTACTTTGAGCTAACAGCAGCTCTACTTTGAGCTAACAGCAGCTCTACTTTGAGCTAACCGCAGCTCTACTTTGAGCTAACAGCAGCTCTACTTTGAGCTAACCGCAGCTCTACTTTGAGCTAACAGCAGCTCTACTTTGAGCTAACAGCAGCTCTGCTCTGAGCTAACAGCAGCTCTGCTCTGAGCTAACAGCAGCTCTACTTTGAGCTTCAAACCAGTTGTTTCGAAACCAGCACTCCTCAATCCAAAGATGCCTCTTTGTTGACTTGTTTGTGTGAGGGATGGGGCTAACACGTCATAACATCGCCGATGAAAATATAGTGGACCGTGCTCAAATAATGAAAGAAAGCACTAGCCACTACAAAAAATTGTAGTTGCACAACCTAAAATCGCGTCCTTTTTTGATCCACCACGTGCTTTCTTAGTGCGCATGCGCAAAGCGATGAACTCAAATAAGAGACCGGGTCTCTTATTCGGGCATGGTCTACTATTTTTCCGTGAGGCCTCTAGGAGGGTCTACTATTTGAGCATGGTCTATTATTCGAGCATGGTCCACTAATCGAGGAAATACGGTATGTGCAAATTGTGGGGCTACAGAGGGGAACAAAATTCAACTACATGTGCTTGTAATCTGATTCAGCGCATCTAGAAGTACAGTGTACACGCACTCCTTGGTGCCGTGTATGCATTGCATCGGTCACACATTCATTTGTTGCATGCTGTGTGTGTGTGCGCGACTCAGAATTTGACACAAGCATAAATAACGCCATAATGCATGTGGTGACAGGGATCTCTGCATCTGTACAGTGCCCTGCGCATTGCAGCTCAAGTGCATAGTGTGCCATACATGTAGTTATATGGACATGGTTACTTTGCACGAGGGGAAGATTCCGAATAGCGCTTGCCAGTACTCACCCGCACTGTAGTGAAATCCGCATACGAAAATTTCAATATGAGTTCCTTCACGTGTGTTTCTGTAGGCAAACAGACAACATGTTTTTGAGGAAAAACACACACACACACACACACACACATCGCACAGCGCCATTGATTGCGCTTCTGCTACTGCTACTACGTGCCCTGGTATTCATGCCCTGGTATTCATGGTGTTATGTGCGCAGAAAGCTACTACTAGTACTACTAGTAGGCCTACATACCTGAAATTCAAGTGCAGCTATCACGCTCCGCAGGTTAGGCCGTAACTGCCGTAAGGGGATTCGAGGACGGCGCGGGTGCTTGTAACACAGACCATCCGTATTCAACTTCAAGACGTAGAACTATTTTGAAGTAGATTGGCTGGAAGTGACGAAACGCCCCTGTTATCGGTGCTATGCTGATCGCTAGAGGCCGCCTGTAACTCGTGCTACTCCTCAAACATGCTTGAGCAATTATCACGGACGCAGGAAGAGGCTCCAATACCGGAACACGGTCATTGCCGCTAGTTTAGTTAGCCTGCACTCTAGGGGGGCCCTTCACAACAACCAGGAAACGGCAGAGACCCCTTCCTGACTCAAACTACATGTACTGCACTAAGCCGCGGGCCATTCCTGAAACTTTCATTGACTCCTGAAAACAATGTGCAGTCATCATGGTCATGGACAGAGTAGTAATGGACGGACTCCCTTACCTGTAAACTGCAAGCGGCTTGCTGTGTTGTTCGATCTGTGGCCTCACTTCGGCTTGCTCATCGCCATTAAATTTTGGCTCATTCTGCTCGAGAGCGCGAAAACGCCGCCTTCCATCTGCTTCGCGTCGGGATCGCCTGGTTTATACATAGGCCAGGATGATCGACGCCTTCAACTCAAGTAAGCAAGGGGATTTTACCGGTATGGTGTCAAAAGTTGAACGGACTACAACATACAGTCATGTCAACCAGGCCATGTTTCAGTATGTTGACCGGCCAGAGCACTGCGCTATGACTATGAGAGTGAGAGCATGCAGCACAGCCAGGTGCTAGGCGGCCAGTCTTGGGACTGAGTGTGTTCATAAGACATAACACGAACTACATGTAGTCTTGTTGCCGAAAGTCATCAAGAGCAACTGGAAGATCCCCACCAGCTCGGGGAAACTACCTGTACTGCTTCACGTGACCTGCAAACCACTGACTCGGCATTCGGCAAGTGCATGCAGTGGCACTGGCACTTGGCAGATACTGATAATGCTAGCTAGCTAGCTAATGCTGGATGTGTGCTCGAAAAGCATTGACATAAAAATGGGAGGAATTATACAAAATCTTGCGGCAGGCCTCGAATTCTGCTCTACATACCCGGGTACCAAACATACAAGAGAAAGCATCAAATTCTGCCGGTTATCAGGTTATAACTGATATTATCTGCCTACATTATCTACCAAGAGACCCGGGCTAGCGTGCTAGTGGGCTAGGGCATTCTGTTACTTCTTTCGAAGTACATGACATTGTAGTCTTGTACTTTGTGTTTTTATTGTAGTACCTCTGACCTGGCAGTGGGAGTGAGTCGAGACCTCGACTCGATGGCATTGACAACTTTATGAGGATACAGTCGGTTTGAGCAAGTGCTACAGGTCTTGATGGCGGATATAATAGTTAATACTGAGATAAAGCACTTCTACAGTGTACATACAAATGGAATCATGTACATGTACATGACTGTACACATAACAGAATGCAGGAATGTGTTGGGACGTGCTGAAAGACATGCTGTGGGCTTTGGTCTCGTGAGTTGCGATGCCCAAGCTGACATTAATTGGGAATTGAATCGGGGGTTCTCGCTCCACATATACTGGCATACACAGAGACATAGACAGCAATAGCGACAACGCACAAAGTGAAGGGTAGTTGGCCGTAGCCAGATGTGAACCGGATAACGAGTGAGGTATGGAAGCAAGCAAGGACTGAGAACAGAGTGTCTCAGATAAAATAGTCGTGCCAGTGGATAGCAGAAATAGGCATGATGCAGAACCACTTGGGACCGTCAGATTAATTTTCCTGGACCGAGCCAGCCGGGAAAAAACCCTCGCGCCGACGGACGCATTTGTGAGGGAAAAAACCGGGTGTATATCCCCAATGGCGATTAGGCATCATGTAGGCATGGCAAGCACATCACGGCAAACAGTGATAAAAAGCATTGATAATATGCACAGAAATAAAGGGTGGGAGGGCAGGGACACTGGTGAGACTCAAAACTGACTGAAGAAGTCAGGAAAAGAAGCGACAACAAAGAACACACCAGATGCCATATTTGCAACTGAAAAATATTTCGCGAGAAATCATTTCTCGCCTATCTCGCTGCGCTCGGCCGGCGAGAAATACAACTTATTTTGCACTTGAGAAGCCTGCGTCCGTGAGCAGCCTGCGTCCGTGAGAAGCCTGGCTGGGTCTGTAAGAAACATGTGACTGTGGCGCTGGCAATGGCATTGCACTGACACCATGGCACATCTCTATCCATAAGGAATGACAAGCGCTTGCTACTGTGCTAGCGATGATACATGTACGTCTAGTGTAACAGGCTGCCAAACAATGCTCTACACCCCGGGGCAGGCAAGGGCAGAGCATACCAAACAATGCTCTACACCCAGGCAAGGCAGGCAAGGGCAGAGCATACCAAACAATGCTCTACACCCAGGCCGTTGAAGGGCAGAACATACCAAACAATGCTCTACACCCAGGCCGTTGAAGGGCAGAGCCTACCGCACAAAGGCAGAACAACAGAGACCAAAAGCCTTTCTGGAACTCTTTTTAAAAACAAAACTCAGACTTACAGAAAGGCCTTCAGTGGTATTTGTGGTTTTGCCGCTCGTACATGTGCATGATATACACACACACAACAGAGGCGAAAGGCTGTGGAGCTGTAACTTACTTTAAGTTTCACGCAGTTCAGCAATCATCAGACGGCAGCAAATGCTGAATGCTGCTGTCTGATGATTGCTGAACTGCGTGAAACTTAAAGTTACAGCTACAAAGCCTTTCGCCTCTGTTGTGTGTGTGGATACTGCTCTGTACATTCATGCATTGAGCACTCTACCTCGAGCTGCCTGGACCCGCCTTGTTTGTACATGATATAATGTACTCGTACGTGTACATGTACATGATGTACATGTACAGTCCTGCACAATGAAATCCAGTCACCATGGTCACGTCACTCAAGTTTGAGCCTGGCCGCGTGACCATTTCGCAGCCCAGTGTTCGCAGGTCTAGGATTGCGCAACGCCCGGCGCTTTCTCGAGTGATGCGACTGGATTTGATTGAGCAGCACTGTACAGTCAACTTTGTGTATAACGACACTCGGGCGGGGCATCAGAAAAAGAGTCCTTATTCGCAAAGTGTCGTTATACCCGAAGTCTCATTATATGTATACAGGTAGTATAGACTTTGCTCTGGGCATGGAAATTCTGTCGTTATTCGCGAATTGTCGTTATATCCGCAGTCGTTATCAGCGAAGTTGACTGTACATGTATTGAGAAACAACAGGCACCATGATCAGGTCCTAGCCTGGAGGCGGACGGGCGGACTCTTCAACAGTGTGCTGGGAGTGAGGCGCATATCGGGAGCTTCAACACGGTGGTGTGGCCTGGCGCAACTTTTCGCATTGTAACTTACCAACGCCCTCAACGTACATGTACATGTACATAGTGCATGACATGTACAGTACATAGTGCATGTACAGTACCTGAAACGCTGATTCCTAATACAGTATTATGATACACTCTAATAATATCAACAACACTGAACAGTAACAAGAACACTGAACAGTAGCAATAACACTGAACAGTAGCAACTCAGGACGCGAACATGTTGGAACAAATAATCACGAACAAAAAGTCAAAACCCCGTTACCAGGTGCACAATCGGCATTGTGTTCACAGGTTGCTAGGAAACCTCTGCCGGGGGGGGGGGGGGGGGGGATAGTGCACACGCCAACACTTGTTTTACTGGATCTGAAACTGTAAATGGACCACGACAACTTGAACAAGTGCACAACAAGTGCACCACGACTGTGAAGAGTGATTCTTCCCAGGTTAGCCTTCCACAGAGTGCATGTGATTTGCCGCATTCGTGAATACGCAAACTCTTTCAACGCTCCCGCAACGGGCCTCTGACTAGGGCCCGGTGTAATATGCCCGAAACTTTGCCGAAAATGCTTTTGGGAAATTCTCGTAAACCTTGCCGAAAATGCTCCCAAACCTTGCCGAAAATGCTCGGAAAATGCTCACTTTTTTGTAATCCTCAGCAGTCAGCACACGCCGTCAAAACCAGGGAGTCAGAAAATACCGGTATTTTACGACTCCCTTGTTTGGGAAGTTTTTCTTCTCTCAATTTTGATACACAACGGCCAAGTGCTCCGTTTCCCCCAAAATGCTGCATCACGAGCCCAAAGTGTACATGAACGTCTTCGATGTTCACGGATTGTACCGAAAATGCTCAAAAAAATGCCGGCATATTACACGGGGGCCTACCTCTGACCCCTGCATCCCTGTCGGGGATACTCTAGACCCCACACGTGACATGATTCCCGACCCCGGTCGCATACATGCACACGTACATGTATCTACAATCAGTGCGGAGCCGAGACTGGCAATTAATTACCGATAGTTACGTAAAGCTGAGTGCGGAAAGCTAGGAGCAGTAAAAGGTCTCAGACTCAGATTCGGATTGAATGGAGAGGGCAACAAAATGAAATGTGTAATTAGGTAGATCTACAATCATGCAGCATCTACATGTACCTTTCACGTACATGTAGAACAAACAAAAATTTAGAGCATTACTAGTAGTAGCATTACCTACATAATATAATGTAGACCAACCGTGAAGTAGCGAGTTCTGCGGCGTAGACGAAGTACCGTTACTAACGACGTAAGTTAGTTAGTAGTCGCGCGCTCCTACATAATTGCACGTCACAAGGAGCTCACGCTTCCTGTCGATTTACTTGACACTTGACTGCATGCCTGATGACCGCCATTTCAGACCGGGGGATGTCGAACCTTCCATCCATTCGGCAAACCTGCAAGAAAGCACCACTCCCTGCTCAGGGCACAGACTTGTAATATTAAAATAATGGGAAAGTCACCCCTTATGAGTTGAGCTCGAGTAGGCGATTTTGTGCTCCAGAAGCACTACATGGATCTAGTAGTAGTAGTACATTGAAGTAATACTAATACTATAGCGTTCCAGGAACTAAACATCACTACTACACCAGGGATACAAATCACAGTGATGCTCGGTGATCCGTTTCCAGCGCTACAAACACCTCGGAAGGTAGCAACGACGTAACTATTACTTGGTCACTGGTCAGAGTCACTCGTATCATCAAGAGTACATATAACCCCCCGGGGGGGGGGGGGGGGGTTATGTACTCTTGGTATCATGGAGTGTGACTGTGAGAAACAGAGCCGGGCCGGGCGCCAGCCTCCGCGGAATATGCTCGTATTTTTACCGATAATTCCTTTGAGCATTGCTCAAAATTTCGACCGATTATTCCCGTAATTCCAATAATTCTCACAATAATGCTTTTTTTCTTCCCTTTTTTTGCAGATACCGTACCGCGTACGGGTTTTTTGCCACTTGTACGGGCAAAAAAATCACGGTTCGCGTGAAACTCGGCTGGAAGCCTTTTTTCATTCTTTTTTGAAATACCGGGCGATCAACTTCAGGATCACAAGCTTTTTGGTACAAATCAGGGTGTTATAAATGGAAACAAAAATGAAAAAAGGGGGGGGGGCATTGCTCAAATTTTACCGATTATTCCACAAAAATTGCCGATACTTCCCGAAATTATGCCGGCACATTCCGCGGAGGCCTAGCGCTATAGCACCAGCTATTCACGTATCACAACGCTGTCACGTGACCTCTATAAAAATGTATGTAGGGGTTGGGCCTGGTCAGACTGCGGCAAAATCGAAATAAGCGGATGATGCCGGCATAATTTTTGGCATAATTTTTGGCATATTTTTTGGCATAGTCAGGAGAAGGAGCATGAAAAATGACATCCGAAAAACAAGGGCAGATGCCCAATGAGGCTGTTATACACACCTACCAGTGAAGGCAAAATAATTGATGGCATAAGTTTTGGCATAATCAGGTCCTTTTTGAGAAGGAGCATAAAATGGCATCCGAAAAACAAGGGCAGATGCCCAATGAGGCTGTTATATACACACCTGCTCAGTACAGAAGGCAAAGTTGATGGCATAAGTTTTGGCATAATCAGGTCCTTTTTGAGAAGGAGCATAAAATGGCATCCGAAAAACAAGGGCAGATGCCCAATGAGGCTGTTATATTCACACCTGCTATTCAAGGACCATATACAGCGCTTCTTGTCGATTTGGAATAATATGTTAGCAGCCCGGTGACTACAGGACATCTCCCAAAAGTTCAGCGTTTGCTTGTGAATTTGGTATTCCTCTTGCATATTATTGTCTTGCACTTCCACAAAGCTCCCAGTCCACAACATGACAATGGTCCGAGTCCTTTTTTCATGACGACTATCTGTTCTTTGAAGCATATAAAAGATGATCATTAATTGGCATTAATTGGCTGTTTTCTCGAGCATCCGCTAGAGCATAATCTGGTCATTTTCCGAGCATAATCAGCCGCTTACCCCTACTTGGTACCAGGGTCTGGGAGTACATGAACGTCTTCGATGTCTTCCACATGCCGACCGTTTGCATTCTGCGGACCAGAGACTGAATGCCAAGAGCCTGAAGGGAGGTGCAGACGGGTGCCGTTTCTTTTCGGAAGTGACTTCCTCAGCGGCAGCGTTCTTTTACAGTGCTGCTTTCGGGACGGCCAATACATGTACGTGGAGCCGAGGGCACAGCGCTACGCTTTTACCCTGTCACGGCTGGGTTTGAACCCCGGACACATTGCGGGTCTGCAGTGCAGAGCACCAACGAGAACCCGGGTCAGCTCATTGGTTGGATCTATGGCAACAGTCGCGAGGGATATGATATGTATCTCGTTACTACGAGTAGACGAATCGAGGGGACGAGTGCCGCGCCGGTGCAGTCTTATCCCAGGAGGGTTGCCGGCCGCCTGGGTACGATAATGACAACCACCAACACAGCAGGAAGGCACAATGCCCCCTAAATGGCAGAGAACAACCACTTCTTCCACACAAGAGATACCGTGTTGAAAATTCCTGTACCGTTGTTGTGGATTTGGCCTCTCTGCCAGTTAGTCTTAGTGACGTCACTGCTTTGTGACGTCGTGGTGCGTCCCCCAAAAAGCACAATTTCAATCAGGGAGTAGTAAAGTACTCTAATTATTTGCTACTCAGCCCTGATTTCAATCTCGTTGACCCAGGAAGGCTTGGGAAGATCGAAGCGGGACCTTCACCATTCGACGAAGTTAGTGCCCAAAACTCTACAGATCATGAAGTTTTGATTGAGATACGCTGCTGTGCAATGCACGAAGGCACAAACACACACACCGGCACACGCACACACACATACCGGCCGCACACACACCACACACACGCTGAGACATGTCCATCGCGGAAGCGATAATAGCGAACAGCTGATGAATCGACCGCCACTAATTTTAGCCCGGTATCCACTACACAGCTGATTGAAGAAAAGGCTTTTGCTGGCCAGTGAATCCCTATTTTTCATTTTTTTCCATTTTCCATTCTTTTTTTTACACACACACGCCACACCACATCATGTGATTCCGGCATCGTGACCGACCGTGCCAGCGGGCTGTTGGTAACCACCCAGGAGAATGAAAGAAGAGCAAGGAGAATGAGAAAGAGAAGAAAGACGTCACAGTGTGCAACCATAATCATCGGGAATTCAACCCGCAACCTCTCGATTGGAAATCGACTGCCACTGAGGCACATCACCTGTGACTGCACCATATGGGACACACACACACACACACCATGTACACACTCACACACACACACACACACACACACACACACACACACACACACACGTGACATACACACACGTACACATACACATACACAACCGGCCGCATGACACTTGAAACCGGGAAGCGGACCGTTGCTTGTCCTACATCAGTGTACTTCGACTCCGGCTTTGAAGTACATTATCAGTATTGGCAAGAGTACATAAACCAGAGTGTGCAACTCAGGATGGTTCCTGTGGGAGCGTAATTCGTGCACTACGTCATTTCTGACGGCATGGTAAACCACAGGTACGGTGAAAAGTTGCGTAACCAGTCGCGGTGGTGCAGGTCACTGAGTTTGTCCTGATTTCGGTTTTTTGAGACGGATAGCCTGGTGACTTTACTTGTCGGTGGATGTACGCAGCGTACACAGTCACACAAAACACCGAAATCCTGGAACTGGACGTCTAAAATCAAGCAAACTTGGCTGATTTCCGGGCTATGAAACATGAAAATTTGAGCTGTATGCAAGTCGCGGCTTGGCTGACCTCATCAGGGTGACGTAGTGCACGAACTGCGCTGTTTCAGATCTGATATGCACAGTTGCACACTCTGGTTTATGTACTCTTGGTATTGGCTAGAACAAGGCTTGACCTCAAGTTGTCCTTACAAAGAACCTGAAAGAAGTACGAGTCGTAGCACTCACACATAACCATAACAGGCAAGCGCGGCTTGTTTGGTTCGGAAACATGTTGTTGGCAACCCGAAACAAGAAGTACTCAGGCCAGGGCCGTTTTTCTAAACTGCAAGTAGTACAACGTCTTTGGCCTTTGGCTTTGGCCGTTGTTCATTGGGCCGCCATGGTTTGGCTCTGATTACGTCACATTCGTAAAGACATTTTTCGGTTTTTTGAAGTTTTTTGAATAGAAGAAGTGGTCCAAGATCGGCCTGGCACTAGGCTGGCAGCGAGTGCAGTGGTGAAGACTTTTTCATTCCAGTTTCAGAGAATGTAAAGAGGAAGTAGAGCTCTTTACAGACAGCGTAGCTTTGAAGCAATGATGTGGCAGTCATACACGTAGCTTTTTTCAACTTACCAATGACGTGCCTGGCTTAGGTAGAATATTTGAGTACAGCTTGCTCTTGTCGTCTTGAGTATTCCAGATATTATGTCAACCAGGGAAAGACATTGTAAATAGGTCTACGAGTTGCTATATCTATCAACTATCAAGTACTAGTATGTTCGATCCGAATGGCTTTGACTTCAGCTTCTGTGGCAGGATGGACAGGGAAGCTGTCATTGCAATGCACAAGCGCGAAAAAGATAGCATAAATGTTCAATTTGCTTCGCGAGCTGGAGAAGAGAGAAGCTTGCTGACCACTCGAGTCGGAGTTGAGCATCTAAAAGCGCCAGCCAAGTGCGATTTGAGCAAGCTCAAGTCCTCGCACAAGAGGATTTTCATCGATAGATCTGAGCAAAGAACGCACTTTGGCTCATACATGGTACTGCGCACCATTGTCGATCCCTTCAAGATCTTCGCCTTACATACAGTAGTGGAAGATGAGCTAGGTGGCGTGCTACGACTGTGCCTGTACAATTTCGTTACGCCGCTGTTCGTGCATGAAGACATATCCTGGGCGGTGCCGTTTGGTCAGAAGATCGTCCTTCTGGAGCCGTGTGTAAAGTTCAGTGTTGGCGGCATGACAGTGCTACGTTGTGATAACCCTAGCCATGTGGTGCTGTTGGATGATGCCGACCCTTTCCTGGCTGATGTCAATTGGCCAAGTAGGCCTGTGCCAAGGTACTACAAGTCGGGGGCGATGGGCCATGCATCGTCGTTCAAGAACCGCGGGAATGACCTGTTTCGCAAGGGCGCGTTCTGCGAGGCAGCGGCAAGCTATTCCAAGGCTCTGGAAAGTCTGAGCGATGAAAGCAGTGTGGATGCTGGCGAACTGAAGACTACGGTGCTTAGCAACCGCAGTGAGACACTGCTCAAACTGGGACATCACCGCTTTGCTCTACGAGATGCCAACGCTGCGCTGACTCTGAACTCTCTGCATGGCAAATCCGTGCTGCGGAAAATCCGGTCGCTCATCGGAATGCACTTGTTTGTGGATGCGAGGGACGCCGTGCATTCCGGCCTGAAGGTGTTCAAGGAGGGAGATCTCTTGGCAGAGCTATCCGCCTACAAGAAACAGCTAGACTTGAAACTGACCAGGCCGTCCAAGATGGACGAGGAGGATATCAATGTGTTGCTGGACTCATGCGATTGGCAGAAAAACCCAGAGAGTCGCCTCTTGTGGCCCGAGTACACTCGCAAGCTCAGGGTGAAGCGTTCAACATTTGCCCATGGCCGTGGCACGTTTGCTGCGGAGAGAATCCAGCAGGGCGAGATTGTGCTGCTGGAGAAGGCACTTACTGTGGTGTTTCCCAACGAAGTGAAGAAGGTTGTGGAACAGCCAGTATCTTATAGCGGAATCCTGACCAGTTCCTTTCTCAATGCAGCAGCTGAGAACAAGACGCTCATAGATGCAGAGAAGATGGAGCTCATTTATCGTATCTGTGTGCTTTCTTGCCACATTCCTTCCATCAATAAGTCGCTGAGTGAGCTGGCCGGTTTGCCGGGTGGTCAACTGCAGGACTGGTACACACCGGACACGATGCGTACGGATCCCGTGCCGCTGCCGATCTGTGTTGACAGCGTGGAAACGGTGTGCTCTCGCAATGCACTGCGGCCAGACAACCTGCACACCATCCGCAAGAGCCTAGCAAGTCCCGAGCCCGTCAAGCCTAGCAAGGAGCCGGACCCCAAAAAGTGGTCTCCCTTGGGAGCAAAGAGCATTGGACTATGGCGCAAAGCCGGTCTGATCAACCACCGATGCTCTCCTAATTGCTCCCAAATTCTCATAGGTGACATGCTGATCCTTGTGGCGCTGCAAGACATCAAAGCCAATGACGAGCTCAGTATCAACTATGCGCCGATTTGCGATTCGTATAGCCAGCGGCAGCTGACCATTGAGAGGTTTGGTTTCAAGTGCGTGTGCAGGCGATGTCGTCGGGAAGAAGCGCATAGAGTCAAGTACGACCGGTCGGTGGACAAGTACTTTGTCCTGGATAAGTCCTTGTCGACGCGTGATTCCGACCTCGCCACCCTGTACACGTCTTGTCTGGCACTGCAGAAGTCCGTCATCTCCATCACGCAGGGCCGAAAGGAGTCCCTGCTCCTGGCCAGCGTCAATGACCTGCTGCTGCGTATCAGTACTCAGCGACGGCGACTGCAGGACACCACCAAGGCGGCCATGTCGCAGCTACAGCCGCTGCTCTGCTTTGAGCACGACATGCACCTGCTGCCTGTCTACCAGGCCGTGCCGTATCTGCTGCGGGCGTGCGGTGCGCTGCTGAGCGCGGCCCGTCAGTCGTCGCTCACCGACAACGCCAAGGCAGACTTGCGACGCTCGGCGCGTGACTACGCCCAGCGGGGCATACAGCTCGCCAGGCTCATGCTCGGCCATAGCAGCGAACTGGTCAAGTTTGTGTACGGAGAGGAGCTATTCGCTAAGCTGATGGCCGCTGGCTTTGCTGAGCGGCCAGTTACTGTCAGTGAAGTGGATTGAACAGCAGTGGGGGATAGTTGGGTTTCAAGGCTGGTGGCAAGTGCCTCCTGCTCTGTTTCTTCATCAAGCCAATCAGCAAGATTTGCTGATTTCTATGAACTCCTTGAGGTGACATTGGACGGCGGACTGTGTAACTACCGCTTACATTCCACTTTTAGTTTCCTCTCTGTTGCTGGTAAGTCAAGGTGTTCCTGTGTAGTTTGCTCTGCTAAATGCTTGAGTGATTGTGTGTTTATGTGTGTGTGTGTGTGTGTGTGTGTGTGCACGTGTGCCTGTATGTGTGTGTGTGCTCTATGTGTAACACTAACAGGGAGTATTTTAGAGCACTTTTTAGAGACATAGCTAGCGAAGAGAGGCAGGCCTCTCCTTTTTCTTTCTCTCAAGTTGATTTTGAAATATTGAGTTGAAGTTTTGGTTTCAGGGCAAATTATTTTTCGTATTTATAATAAAAGAAATACTTTTACAAACTCCTTGCGTTGATGACACTATTCAAACTTTTCAGTGTGTGTGTGTGTGTGTGTGTGTGTGTGTGTCAGCTAGTTCGGTTGGTGGGTACACTTATGCCTGACTGTGTTGGATCTGTTGCCAACGGGCTCGGCTGCTTGAAGGTGTATTGTTGCACCTGCCGCCTTTGTTGGTTCCAGGGTTCATATACTTTCTATTTGAAGTATGCATACCTGTTAACCATGGACTGCTTCTGGCTAGATCAACTCTTGTGTAATCAATGGTGCTAGTGAAGCTTGTATCAGATCCACTCTGATTTAGCCCCCCCCCCCCCCCCACACACACACACACACTTGTAGCAAGTATTACCTTCACTGGGGGCAGGGGTAACTGCAGTTGGATCCGGGACGGATACCCTGATGCAGTCAATCCTTTTTCTGCACCTTGTCCTCACCAGGGAGCCCTACACATACCGGTATGTGTAGGGCTCCCTGGTCCTCACCCACTTACTGAGGTGTGGTGAGCCCATAAGTTTTTTTTTTTTTTCACGGCCAAAGTTTATAATACCAGAAAAATAATAATATGTAGCGCAAAATAAAGAGAAGGAAAATAATAACCGGTCAAGCGCTAAATACAAACAGAAGAAAAAGAAATCATAAGCCAATACGCGCTAAATTGCGCTTAAATTATAATGAAGGGAGAAAAACTGGAATCCGCGGAAATTATAACATACAAAATGATACAGAGAAAAGGGGAAACAGACAGGTTGTCTAGAGATGACACTCGGAGACAGCAAGTGTGGCAGAATATGCATGAGGGTCATACCTGCTCGACTTGTGGCGATGCCCACGAAGGCATGCCACGGCCGCCTTCACGAGAGCAAAGGACAGCTGGGCTCTGATCAAAGCCATTGCCACAGAGAAAGGCTCACCATTCTTCTCAGACTTGATGCCTGCAATGCGGCCAAAGAGAGTGGAGGCTGCCTTCCCTTGGCCACCAGTCGTACTGAACACCACGGGGATGAAGGAAGCGTGCTCAACGTTGAGAATGCGACTCTCATAACTCCTCCGTTTCTCCTCTTCGTGCTTTCTGTAGCTGCCAGCGATCGTTAGTTTCCGATTTGAGGGGGCAAATGGGTTGAAAACCCGGACATCTAGAAAGGTCCTCTCAAACCGTCCACCGTGTAGACCGCTGACAACTACATCCAGCCGAGCTTGTTCTGCCGTGATGGTGGACCGCAGCGGAAAGCGCTCACCGGTCACAGGCTGGAGGTGCGGCTCAACATGAACATCATGTGCGACGTCGCGTAGCAGTGCTGCTGTTAGGTCTCGGACCTCGTTGTGCCGTAACGAGGGATAACCACCGATGGCACATGACATGGCATGGGTGGTCGAGAATGGCTTTCCACACGCGCATGTTGCCGGTAAGCGATCAGGATCCCATCCATACCTGAGGCATATGGCATCGCGGAAGGCGCCCTTGTGCAGGGTGAAGCCATGCCTTCGCAATGGCCGACATGTCAGCCAACTTGAGGCACCTTTCTCCGAGGCAAGCTGTAGGGTGCGTTGCAGGTCTGGCTCGAGTTGGGCCATCAGGGTGACGACATGGTCCTTCTCCTTCTTCCCAGCGGCTGTCCTAGCTGTTGCCTTCAGTACCCGCATCCGCCCTGAGATGCCTTCCATGGATGACTGCTGTTGGATGATGTTGTCAATGAGTGGATGGGTGATGGACAGAGAACGCTGATGTTCATCGCTCAGCTGACTGGGGTTAACAATACCGAGACCACCGAGACGACACGGAAGGTCAAGCACAGCGCGGATCACCGAATTCGGTGGGTGACGCCCTGTCAATGCCGGAATGAAATCATTGCGGATCACATCCTCAAGTGGCTGAAGCAGATCTGCTGCTCCAGGTACAGTACGAACCAGAAATGACCATTTGTGCTTGAGGCCTTGGCTAAATGCAGTGTAGGCGGCTTGCGGTTGGCTAAGTGCATAGGTTGCGAGGCGCTTGACTTCTTTGCACCATTGCTCTGCCTTTTGAGCGACGTACTGATTGCAATACTGCTCTGTGCCCAGGACAGCTCCAAGATGTCGGTGACCGTCCGCGGTTACGCGAACTTCAGTGTCGGCGAACACTTCTCGCGCGATGTTGAGGAACTGTGGTTTGACGAGTAACACAGACTTTGCAGCATTCGTATAGTAGCCGTAAGCTGGACCACGCGTTTCCAGGATAGACCACCATTCTCTGAGACGAATTATCTTACTTGCAGCTGTAGAATCATCAGCGTACCACGCTTGTACGGCGTTGGCTGCAGCGGCTTCGCGGATTAATGGCAACGTCCCTAGAGCATACATCACCATGGCGAGGGGATCCCCCTGCGTTGTGCCCTCAGCAGACTGAAGGGTCTCCCCGTCGACAAACAGCTTTGCGGGCTGTCGGTACGTGTTGGTAAGGACTACGGCGAGTGCGGGGCATAGGTGTTGAACATTCAGGAGACACACAGAACGGTTTAAGCGATTGAACGCGTTGGAAGCGTCTGCAAAGAGAATACCCTCTGTGTTGTCCTGCTGGAAGATTTCTCTCATGGCATGGATTGCTGCCTCTATGCCTGACTCTTGGCCCCCACAGAGCTGGAGACAGCCGACCGACTGGATTATGTCAGCCTTGGTGACTTTGAGGATGGCTTTGCTGATAATCCGTCGCACAACCTCACCGACACCAATCGGCCTGACTCCGGGGTCCTTATCAAGGGCGATGAGGCGGCAGGCAAGGAAGGCATCGAGTGAGGATGGGTCAATGTGTTCTGATGCCAGCCGTCTTGCACATTGGGCTAACGCATCGCACAGGGCATCAGATGCCGTCCTGAAACCTGTACACAAGTGGCGCCATGCAGCAGCGTCCATTCCTGAGGGGCCTGCTGCACCTTGTGTGTCAAGCGCAGCCTGACGGATGATTTCCCTGTTGATAGCCGCAAAATATGTTGGATGCGGCGGTGGTGGGGGTGCGTCTGGTATGACCGCATCTTCTTGAACAGGCCCCGCTGGTGGGTGTTTGTCTTCCAGAATTTGACGAACAGTCTTGCCATCAATTTCTGCGCTCAGCTTATGCACTCCTTTGGCGCCATCATCATCAAGAGTTCGAAGGCTGCTGGCAATTTTCCCTCGTGAACCAGATTGGCGAATCGCCGAGCGTCGTCATGAGGTGTCCGTCTACTCTTCGAGTATCCTGAATGACACTGCCTTTGCTTGAGCTGCCCCTGGATGGTGCGGGCTTCAAGCATAAGGTTGTTTATATCACCACATTCCCATAGTTGAAGTCTGCGGTTCAGGTGCTGACGATGTTCTCTCTGGTCACGGCAATCCACTGGCTGTTGCAGAAGTAGTTGGGTCGCGACCATTGCGGTCTTGAGTGCAAGGCCTTCTCCTGCCCCGCCCTCACCAAACCTTCGATAGAGACCTGCTAGCAGGTTCACAAACTTGGCGCCCGCGCCTCCCTGTGGCACTTGGTAAAGGTTGGGCAGGAAGTGCACAGCTTCCTTGTATGCCGCAGAAACAATCTGGCCAGTAGAGTCGGCATCGTGGTCGCCCAGGCTCAAAGCTACATCACTTTGGCCATGGGTGGGTAAGACAGGTACTGCAGGAGGGTCAACCTGACTCTGGTCGAGATTGGCAAGCAGTTGAGTAGCTGCACCTGGTGGCTCGCTAAGACCGTAGGTGCTTGGGAGTGACGGTGATGTGTCCGCTGCTGTGGATGTGCATGGTTCCGTGGGTAGGGTGTGAACGTCAAATGGCTGGTCCAGAGTGTCCCAGGCTAATTGCTGGGACTCCGACACATTATCGTTATTACTACTACCGGCGGTACTAGCAGTGCTATGACTTGCTCCGGGTTGCGATACAGGGACTGGCTCAGGTACGGCGGAAGGTACGGTAATGACCCCCGCTGGCGCTGTGTTTGAACTGCACTGTACGGGAGCAGCTAACCGATCTTGCCGATTCCTGCATCTAAAGTTCCTTCCAGGAGTACATTGAATACAAAGACTACTTTTCGTTCGACAACTGCAGTTCGTTTTGCAGACGGAATTGCCACTGCATTGACAACACCGGCCAGTGCCGGAGCCTGCGCTACCTCCGCTCGTTGCCATGAAAAACTAGCTCGAAATCAACGCATACCACGTCAAGAAATTCAAAAAACACAGGAGCTAGCAAAACTCTAACCGCTCTCCAGTGCAGTGTGTACGTCCCATAAGTGGGATCATTTTCAAGTCCACCCAGAGTTTTTGGGGGTTTCAGGGTGTGTCGGCCGTTGGGCGGTTCAATAGCCAATTGAGTCATCTTTACAAGATTTCTTGAGCAACAAGTACAAGTCAGTGTGTATGTGGTTGCGTGTCCCTTATGGTGCAGTGGTATGTGCAGCGATTTCCAATCGATTGGTTGGGGATTCGGTTGCATTTGCAGATTTGCGTGCTTCTCTCTAGACGGGTATATACATGGTACTTGGTGCATGGTGTGTGTGTAGCTGTGTGGCGAGCTGTGGCTCTCAGCCTGCCTCCCTCCCTCCCCCCCCCCCCCCCCCCCCCCGTCCTCGTCACAGCCCGAAGGAGTGGTGGCGAGATGTGGTGGCGACTGATCTGGCACACCTAGACGTGACCACCTGGCTTGAGAGTTGCCAAGATCGTCCTGGCTGGAGACGAGTTGCCAGGAGCACTCCACCGCCATGGCCCGCTCCTGATCCTATAATTAAAATGATGCAAAGCGAACATTCTACTTGTCTATTATTCAGTCTTAAGCACAACTCTGTACAATAGGATTGTGACCGTTAGTCACATAGCAATGAAGAGAGTGTTTGGACTCGATCGTACCACGCCCACTGAACTACATGTAATTCTTCGCTTATACCGCCTCTATTCTTTGGAACAGCGTATTAGCCTCAAGCTCTATGTTTTTGTGTACCGCTGCTTGGCCCAGCATCTTGCTAGTCCTCTTCTTCAGTCTTTGTACCAGCTTCGGGCAACTGCACCTGGTCACCAGGCATGCACCCGGCCGGGGCAAGGCACAAAGAGCCTTAGTTCTCCCACTTGTTTATACGCAGTATGGCATGCGCTCTATTTCTTTTCTCGCGACAGGCAGATGGAACTCTCTTCCAGCTGACTGTCGACAGGCCCACTCTCTTGCTCTGTTCATTAACCAGTAAAAAGGCAGTAGCCCATTGGGACTCCCCTAGTAAAATAATAAAAACTACAACTGCTACTACTACTATCTACTCTGTGTCTGTGGACACCCGTTTCATCGACCAGGAGACCTGAAACGGCATGCCAAATTCTGCGCTCGTGTTCTCACCTGAACTTTCCGACATTCGCTATCATTACACAATGGCCAAGATCAAGGTCAACATCCGAGTTTCATAAGATTTCCCCCCATGGAAAAATCGATCTTTTTGTAAGTTTTTTATCACATTATTCTGATAAAACTACTACAATGGTGTACCAGGGCCAGAGTGGTACGCTTTCCAATGGCCAAAGAGAGTTGGAAAGCTTGTGTCTTTGTGGGTAACTTGAACTTCACCATTGCCAAGCCACCGTGCTCACAGCAGAGACTTCTGTGTGTGTTATTATTGTGAAAGTGGACCAAAACTTCCGAAAGGACCCTCAAATACCGGTAGATCAACACTGTATTTGACAACTCCCTGGTAACTACATGTATGCAGCATAACAAAAATGCTAACCCTGGCTGTCATGATATCATTGGCAAAGATGATGACTGTGTTCCTGAAGAGGAATAAAAAAATAATAAGGCCAAACTAAAGAAGGTGTGTGGTTCGACTAACATGGACATTTTTTTTACGGGCGGGCGGGCGGATTTTTTTCTTTTAATATATATTTTTAGTACATGTAAATACACTGTATACGCGTATCGAGTAGACTCTACTACCAGCACAAGGCAGCAGTCGTACCACTCACTGCACTGCACTGCAGTACAACTACAACAGTACAAGTCAAGTCCAAAAGGAGCCGCCTAGCGCCTGCGTCCGCAGACTCACGCCGCACAGCACGTAGACGTGGACGTGTTCAGTCCACGTAGATCTACGTCAGTCACACGACAGCCCGCCGAAAAAAAGTTACGGTCGGGCTGAAATTGTACGGTCGGTCGGGTGAGTCGAACCACACACCTTCTTTAGTTTGGCCTAACAAGAGTACATGAGTTCATGAGTTCATGTACTCTTGATAATAATAATACAGTAAAACCTGGTGTAAGCGACCTCTCGTTTTAGCGACCACCTGCTCCTAACGACCGTTTTCCATGTACGGACAGTTCTACACAGACACAGTGGGACCTGGTTCTGAAGACCACCTGGCTTTAACGACCGCTTTTGCTTTGCACCGTGGGTTGGTCGCTTAAACCAGGTTTTACTGTAATAATAAAATCATGGGCCCTGCCCGAAAATTCGGAGTATTGTACTCTTTGTCGGTGATGGTATACAAATGTACAGTCATGTACAATCAGTCATGTACATGACATGTATCCTCGAGACCGCTTGGAGAGCGTTGTGAGGATGAGAGATTTGCGGGGCAGTCCAGGAGCGCGCTATTGCCTACTCCAACACCACAGCGCTGCACCCTCTGTATAGCCGAAAATAGTACCACATCCTGGCATCAGACCGCAGTGCCTCCCACAACCGTGAAAGTGCACAAGTCATAGTCATAGATCATGTCGAAGTGTCGCCGTGCTGCGAAGTTCCGCAACTACGAATGTGGGACCTGGTGGTAGTAATGCATGCATGAATCCATGATGCATGAATCCATAAAATACAATCATTTTTATGCAATATGCAATACTGACAAGTCTGTATAATTATATGCATATATGCGGTCATGTACGACTGACTACCTCTCGGTACCGGCCGAATCGACAACCTGTCATCATGATTCATGGTCATCATAAATGATGGTCATGGCCTCATGGCAGCTATGTATGCGCGAGTGTGAGAAAATATTACCGGTATGCATATTCAACAAACGTCATTGTACATCATCGCTGCTGCCATGACTTGATCCATGTACAAGGAAGATGCGCTTTGGTCTGTGACTTGTGTGATTTGCATAACCACTGATAACACGTAGATCTACGTGACCGTACAAGACAAACGACGTTACGTAACGAAGATAGATTCAATGATTTTCAAGTAAGTAGTTTAGTTCTGCTCTCAGATAGTTAGTAGTAGTAGTAAGTAGTACTTCCAGGAGTCTGGACTGCCAATTTTATTTTAGAACTGAGTGTGGGAACATGTGAACCTGAGAGTAACGTGCCCTTCCTGTGAGCTGTAGATCTACTGGCAGGCATTGGCAGCGACAGACTCAGTGATTCATCTCATCTCAAGAAACGTCAATCATGGCTAGTGGCAGTGCAAGTGGTAGTGCCAGATCCAACAATGTTCAGCCTCTCCTAACCAACACAGTCCGAACTGGGAGCGAGCACTTAGCAGCACCCGCGACGTTCCAGTTGGAAACGCTGCGTCGAACGCATAGGCGTCTCGGCATCGCGCAGCTGGGCGTGCATAAAGTCCATCGAGGTTGCTACGTGATTATGCGCGTCTGCTCCGTGCAAATGAAGCTAACGGCGCTGTTTGCCAACCTGCAAGATCCGCAAGGCGATACGATTCGCTTCGGCATATATAATTACGTATCACCTCTAGCATTCTACGGCGGTGATGCATCGTGGACCCTACGTCCGGGTACGAATCTAATTGTCCTGGAACCATTCGTGAAAGTGGGCCAAGATGCTGTGGTATTCATACGGTGCGACAACCCAAGTCACGTGATCTGGCTGGACGAATTACCCCAGGATCAGGCATCAGGCATTCTAAGTACTGTGGACTGGCGTGTACCAATTCCTAGGCCCTCTTTTTGGCTCAGTGCTTTCGCACCGCTTGGTGAGCCAGAGGAGTGGAAGGCGATAGGAAATGAGTATTTCAAGCTCTGCGATTACAGTGAAGCTGCAAAATGGTACAGCAAGGCCATCCACCAGCTGCACTCGGAGCGGGACACCAAACCGCCCCCAGTGCCGGCTAGCAGTCGCAAGCTGCTGCTGACGCTGCTGAGCAACAGGAGTGAGACTTGGCTGAAGATGTTTCACTATCGCTTGGCCCTGCGGGATGCCAACCGTGCACTTGAACTGGACACTGAACACATCAAGTCCATCTACCGCAAGGCTCGTGCTCAGCTTGCGCTCTCCATGGTGATGGTGGCGCAAGCAACGGTCGACCACGGACTAAGACTGGACCCGCGCAACATCACGATGAAGGATCTAGACCGCGACACGAGTCGCCGACTTCATGCTCTGGACAGCGCCGAGGAGATTGACATCACAGGCATGCTGGAGACCGTAAGAAAACATAACCATGCAGAGGTGGCATTGCTCTGGCCAGACTACAAGGGGGCCATTGACATTCGCGACACATGCACTGACCGAGGGCGTGCTGTTTTTGCCGGACAGGAGATCAGTGCTGGCCAGATTCTGCTGGTGGAGAAGGCACTGCAGATTGTGTTTCCGGGAGAGCTGCAGTCCACGGCGGAGCTCGGTGCGGGCATCAAGACGGACGATCTGAAAACGGCGGAGTTCTTCGCGAGAGCCGCCAAGTCACAGCTTACCTGGCGACTGGTTGATGCGTGCTGTAGCTCAAGGCGAGTGCACGCTGCGGTGGAGACACTGTACGAGGGCTGTCAACTCACGGGCTGGAGAACGAAGGAGAGCGCCTCGCATGCCACCGAGCTGGACAAACTTCCGGTCGGGGAGCGTCGCGCACCGCAAGTTGTTGACATTGGTCACATTGAAGCGGTTGCAACGAATTATAGCCACAACCTGCAAAATATATCAGTGGCGAAGACCAAGGCTATGGCTGAACACACTTATAGCGACACAGCCCTTGGTCTGTGGTACCACCTTGGTTTCATGAACCATTCCTGCACGCCCAACTGCACGGTCACACTGATCGGTGACATGGTGCTTGTCAGTGCCACACAGCGTATTGGCAAGGGCGAGGAGTTGACCATCTCCTATGCTCCCCTCACTGATATGGAGCGTGATGTGAAGCTGAAACGGTACGGGATCACTTGCAGCTGCACGCTATGTGCAATCGATCCAAAGCTGGATAGGCGCCTCCGGGCGTGTGGCCAACGACTGCTGAAAGTGATGTGCAAGTTGTTGCAATCCAAACGCACGACAAAGGACCGAAAGGAGGCCATTTCCAAGCTAGTTCCATTGGAGCAGGAGCTTTGCAAGGTGCGATCATGTTGTATTGGTCTGTATACAAAAGTGTGCCAGCAGCTTGGCGAACAGCACCACACTATCGGGGAGCACAGCAAGGCCGTGGCATTCGTTGAGATGCTACTCGACTCACTGAAGCTAGGGCCCGCAGACGACGATCTGCATGCATGCGCGGAGACTGCCCTGCAGCTCTGGCGGCTCTCCATTGCCTTCCGCTCTCTCGGCGACCAAAGTAAAGCAGTGAAGTATGCTCGAATGGCGCAGGATTGTGGTCACAAGGCACTGGGCAACTCTGCTGCTCTGGTTAGCTATCTCTTCGACGTTGGTGAACATCACCGCTCACCGTAGTGAAGCCAACACTTTACAGTGGAAAGCTGCTGATTAAGTGTTGAACCTCCACCACATACACCTCCACCCATCGCATACACCTCTACCCGTGACATCATCTCCATCCGTGACATACACCTCTACCCGTGACATACACCTCCACCCATCACATACACCTCCACCCGTGACATCACCTCCATCCGTGACATACACCTCCACCCGTGGCATACACCTCCACCCATCACATACACCTCCACCCGTGACATCACCTCCACCCATCACATACACCTCTACCCATCACATACACCTCCACCCGTGACATCACCTCCATCACATACATGTACACCGTGTCCGCTCTAGGATTTCAGACCAGTCCCAACCAGGTCACAAGCGACCCGGTGTTCTTTCTCCAAGTGGGTCCAAGTACCCCCCCCCCCCCCTGACTGGGTCGCTGACCCAGCTCTGAAGCAGACACTACTAAAGTACATGCACTCTGGTCCAAGCGGGGACGGCTTGTAACGCTATTCTCACAACTAAGAATAGCCCTGTCACGTGTTGAGTAATGATCCAGACCTGTGGTTCACGGCATTCATGATTATCCTATGTTATGGCAATGCTGTAAGCTGTAAGCAGGACTGTTTTTGTCAAGGATGGAGGAGGACATGCCTAACCGACAACGTTAACAGCACCGCAAAATAACTTTTTTTTAATCGTTGATTTTCATGAAATGCGTCTCTATGCAGTGTGCAGTTGTAATGATGACGAAGACGTGCTTTGTAATGAAAAGACGACACCAGGGATGCTCTTAGCAGGCATGCATTTTTATGATAACATTTGCTTGACACGAACCAAATCAATTGGTTATTGGAAGTTGCAAGTTTGCATTGAAGTGAATCAGTAGGATGCTAGTAAGTCTGCAGCTTCGCGGTATACTTCATAGGGATTGAACTGTTCCTTGAAATCAATCCCGTCAATCGTTATTCTTCTCTAATATTCCTTCCCCTCCATAGTCTTCATTCCAATTCAGCTGGTATCTACTTCTGTTCTATCTCCGGAGGGCACGGTCCATCTCGGAAATGCAAATTCTGCGCGTGTGTGTGTGTGTGTGTGTGTGTGTGTGTGTGTGTGGTGTGTGTGTGTGTGTGTGGTGTGTGTGTGTGTGTGTTTGTGTGTGTGTGTCCCATATGGTGCAGTGGTATGTGCAGTCGATTTCCAATCAAGAGGTTGCGGGTTCAATTCTCAACCATTATGGTCGAACACGTCTTTCTTCTCTTTCTCGGACTCTTCCTGACTTTTCTTTCATTCTCCTGGGTGGTTACCAACAGCCAGTGTATGCCGGAGTATGTGGTGTGTGTGTGTAGAAAAAAATTGAAAAATGAAAAATAGGGATTCACTGGCCAGAAAAAGTCACTTCAAACAGCTGTGTGGTGGATACCAGGCTAAAAATAGTGGCGGTCAATTCATCAGCCTTGCAAGCTGTTGAATGGTGTAATCCCAGCACAAGTTGCTATGTCTAACATAGCTGTTCGCTATCATCGCTTCCGCGATGGGCATGTCTGAGGTCTGAGGTGTGTGTTTGTATGTGTATGTGTGTGTGTGTGCAAGCTGTTGAATGGTGCAATCCCAGCACAAGTTGCTATGGCTTCTGCTGTAGCATCGCTATCATTGCCTCCGGCGATGGGCGGCCAATGGTCCAATGGTGTGTGTGTGTGTGTGTGTGTGTGTGTGTGTGTGTGTGTGTGTGTGTGTGTGTGTGTGTGTGTGTGTGTGTGTGTGTGTGTGTGTGTGTGTGTGTGTGTGTGTGTGTGTGTGTGTGTGTGTGTGTGTGTGTGTGTGTGTGTGTGTGTGTGTGTGTGTGTGTGTGTGTGTGTGTGTGTGTGTGTGTGTGTGTGTGTGTGTGTGTGTGTGTGTGTGTGTGTGTGTGTGTGTGTGTGTGTGTGTGTGTGTGTGTGTGTGTGTGTGTGTGTGTGTGTGTGTGTGTGTGTGTGTGTGTGTGTGTGTGTGTGTGTGTGTGTGTGTGTGTGTGTGTGTGTGTGTGTGTGTGTGTGTGTGTGTGTGTGTGTGTGTGTGTGTGTGTGTGTGTGTGTGTGTGTGTGTGTGTGTGTGTGTGTGTGTGTGTGTGTGTGTGTGTGTGTGTGTGTGTGTGTGTGTGTGTGTGTGTGTGTGTGTGTGTGTGTGTGTGTGTGTGTGTGTGTGTGTGTGTGTGTGTGTGTGTGTGTGTGTGTGTGTGTGTGTGTGTGTGTGTGTGTGTGTGTGTGTGTGTGTGTGTGTGTGTGTGTGTGTGTGTGTGTGTGTGTGTGTGTGTGTGTGTGTGTGTGTGTGTGTGTGTGTGTGTGTGTGTGTGTGTGTGTGTGTGTGTGTGTGTGTGTGTGTGTGTGTGTGTGTGTGTGTGTGTGTGTGTGTGTGTGTGTGTGTGTGTGTGTGTGTGTGTGTGTGTGTGTGTGTGTGTGTGTGTGTGTGTGTGTGTGTGTGTGTGTGTGTGTGTGTGTGTGTGTGTGTGTGTGTGTGTGTGTGTGTGTGTGTGTGTGTGTGTGTGTGTGTGTGTGTGTGTGTGTGTGTGTGTGTGTGTGTGTGTGTGTGTGTGTGTGTGTGTGTGTGTGTGTGTGTGTGTGTGTGTGTGTGTGTGTGTGTGTGTGTGTGTGTGTGTGTGTGTGTGTGTGTGTGTGTGTGTGTGTGTGTGTGTGTGTGTGTGTGTGTGTGTGTGTGTGTGTGTGTGTGTGTGTGTGTGTGTGTGTGTGTGTGTGTGTGTGTGTGTGTGTGTGTGTGTGTGTGTGTGTGTGTGTGTGTGTGTGTGTGTGTGTGTGTGTGTGTGTGTGTGTGTGTGTGTGTGTGTGTGTGTGTGTGTGTGTGTGTGTGTGTGTGTGTGTGTGTGTGTGTGTGTGTGTGTGTGTGTGTGTGTGTGTGTGTGTGTGTGTGTGTGTGTGTGTGTGTGTGTGTGTGTGTGTGTGTGTGTGTGTGTGTGTGTGTGTGTGTGTGTGTGTGTGTGTGTGTGTGTGTGTGTGTGTGTGTGTGTGTGTGTGTGTGTGTGTGTGTGTGTGTGTGTGTGTGTGTGTGTGTGTGTGTGTGTGTGTGTGTGTGTGTGTGTGTGTGTGTGTGTGTGTGTGTGTGTGTGTGTGTGTGTGTGTGTGTGTGTGTGTGTGTGTGTGTGTGTGTGTGTGTGTGTGTGTGTGTGTGTGTGTGTGTGTGTGTGTGTGTGTGTGTGTGTGTGTGTGTGTGTGTGTGTGTGTGTGTGTGTGTGTGTGTGTGTGTGTGTGTGTGTGTGTGTGTGTGTGTGTGTGTGTGTGTGTGTGTGTGTGTGTGTGTGTGTGTGTGTGTGTGTGTGTGTGTGTGTGTGTGTGTGTGTGTGTGTGTGTGTGTGTGTGTGTGTGTGTGTGTGTGTGTGTGTGTGTGTGTGTGTGTGTGTGTGTGTGTGTGTGTGTGTGTGTGTGTGTGTGTGTGTGTGTGTGTGTGTGTGTGTGTGTGTGTGTGTGTGTGTGTGTGTGTGTGTGTGTGTGTGTGTGTGTGTGTGTGTGTGTGTGTGTGTGTGTGTGTGTGTGTGTGTGTGTGTGTGTGTGTGTGTGTGTGTGTGTGTGTGTGTGTGTGTGTGTGTGTGTGTGTGTGTGTGTGTGTGTGTGTGTGTGTGTGTGTGTGTGTGTGTGTGTGTGTGTGAAGAATTCTGTTCTGCCACGTTGTGTTTCATTACTGTTTCGCATGCCCGGTTCTGCCAATTGTTAGTGTTTTTCCCGCAGAATGTGAGCACAGGTACTACAATCATGAGATTGTAGTGTATAGTGCAGAGCTCCCGGCCATTCTGAGTAAAAGGTGATCACAGTTAGAGACAAAGGCCAGGGGGTGGCAACGTTTCTACCGTTTTCGAGCACTGATCACCATGGTTATTCTGCTGTAGGTCTACGAGGATACGCAGCAATAGATAATGGCTACATGTATGTACATGATTGTAGCGGTCTCTGACTCTCTCCTAATGTGGACGTAAGGACTGTGCGACAGCATGCCTCTTTCAGTCTTTGGTTCAGAGTCTATCGTGTGCCTTACATACACCATTGTACACCGCTTTGAAATTCGCTCCCACAGCATAGGGCATCATTGCCCGTTTGGCCCGGTTGTGAAGTACATGTAATAATAAAAAATTAATCAACAACAACAACAACAACAACAACAACAACATGGCGGTATAAGTCCTTCCTTCGCTAGTACTTACTACTAGTAGTAGTAGTGCAGTCTTGTAATGGCGTGATACCATGGATACGAGCAAAACAGGACGCGTACTTGAAAGTTGAGGTTCTCGGCGCCATAATCATTCATCCATCCATCAAGAAAGGGGCCGGGGTTCAGTACTCTCGTCCTGTTTCAGAGGCAACTACATGTACAAGTCTACACTACAGTACTGTAAGTGTAACTGCTGTAGTTCATCGGTCACCACGTGTAGCGAATCCCCGGTTGTTATGCAGCGAGGTCTTTGGAATTATACAATAAATTATATACTACCAATATAGCAGTTACTAAATACCGAATAGACCTTTCGTCGAAGCACTTGTAGAAGCTTTTACTGCCGCTTTACAGTCTGAGGCGGTTCGGAAAGCTGTTGCGGATGTGACCAGTTCAATCTGCAGCCAGTTCTCCAGGTGATTGGAAGATGGCGACTTACACCCTCGATCAGGACACACTCAAGGAGTACCGACTGCGCAATGACATGGACTGGACGCATCGGCATCTCATCGAGGAGCATCAACAGCAGTCCGTCGACCCGAGCTGGACGAAAACGGGCCTGCATCACTTCGCCCGACCCGCACCCTATCAGTTGAGCACGCTTCGCGAAACACATCGCCAGCTAATGCTCAAGGATCTGAGCACGAAAAGGGTGCATTTCGGCTGCTTCATCGTGCTTCGCATTTTCCGAGTGTCGGGCAAGCGCATTGGTGTTATGGCGATCATGGAGGACGTGCGTGGAGATAAGGCACACGTCCGCATCTTCAACTACGTGTCGCCCGCACTGGATCACTCGACGCCAATGAGCAGTTTGTTCTATCCGCAGAATACGATGGTGCTGGTTGAGCCGTGGGTTGGTTCCACGACCAAGGTGGGCGGCGAAAAGGAGGTGCACATCTTCAATCCCAGTCATTTCATCATGCTGCATGACGCACATCCATTCCTGGTGAAACTGGGCTGGCATCAGTCAAATTACTGCAAGTGGCTGCTGACACTGGGCAGTGAGAAATCAAGAGATCACAAGAAGGAAGGCAATGAACACTTCAAGAGTGGAAAGTATTGGGCGGCTGCTGAATGCTACACAAAATCGATGGTGTCGAACACAGGCCTTGACCCGTCGGACATGCATGGCAACACACCATTCCGACAGAAGATGACGCTGGCGTTGAGCAATCGCAGCGAGGCTTTCCTGCAGGCACAGCACTATCACTTGGCGCTGAGCGACGCAAAAAGCGCTCTGCTGATAGACAGAACGCACGTGAAGAGCATCTCGAGACTGGCGCGTGCGCGCCTGGGCCTGTGCGATTACCGGCATGCACTGCAGGACGTCGAGCAAGGTCTCTCTCTAGCACCGGACAATGCAGGACTGAGGCAGCTCCAGGAACAGCTAGCACGCCGAGCCAACACCCTGCATTGCAGTGAGCAGATCAACATCAAGGGTATGCTGGCAGATAGTCAGCAGACTGGTACGCGCGGCGAGGTGCGAATCACATGGCCAGACTATCACGGGCCGTTTGAGGTACGCGAGGCCACTGTATGTGAGGGACGTGGACTGTTTGCCACTCGCAGCCTGGCGCTTGGCGAGGTGATCATGGCCGAGAAGGCCGTCTGCGCCGTCTACCCGTTTGAGCTGTCGCCGGCGCGGGTTGAACTGCCAGATGACGTTAGCCAGCTGATGCTGTCCGGCTCACGTTGCATCACCGAGCTGGTTTGGAGACTTGCTGTAACCGCTGCCTGCACACTGGACTGTAACAATGCCATAGAGCGCCTATACTCCGGATCATCGCATGCCATCACGGCAAGGCGGAAAAAGAAGAAGAAGAAAGAGTCCGGTGCACAGCGCGACGGAGCTGGACCGGAGCCACCGGATGACATCACTCATCGACGTGATGACATCATAGAGAAGTATGGTGTTGATGTTGGGCACGTTGAACAGCTGATGATGCTCGGCTATACGTTCAACCTGGAAACAATGCAGATCCATCGCTCGGATCTGGACCGCTCGCATCCCAAGCCAGTGCCAGGCCATGGCTCGGGGCTGTTCAACAACTGCAGTCTCATGAATCACTCCTGCATGCCCAATTGCCGACGGTTCGCCATAGGCGACGTGATGTTCGTCAGCGTTATCCAGCCGATCAAGGCTGGCGTGGAGCTGACCATGGCTTACCAAGACAAGGAGTATCTCACGTCACGGCACAGGGTCCTGGACGGGAAAGGGTTTGTCTGCGCCTGCCTTCGCTGCAAGGCCGAGGCACCTTCAGACACTACGTACAGCACGCTGAAAGCTCGCTATGAAGGCCATAGGCAGCATAAGCACACCGATCTAGACTCGCGCAATGCGCTCATGCTCTATGAGGATCTCACTAAGCTGTTGCACGAGATCGACAAACTAACACCTCAGGCCGGCGAGCTAGCTTCGAAAACCCTCCGCCTACGTCGTCGGCTTCAGATCAAGTTCCAAATGGAAGACGAGCAGCTTATCACAGCCCAGAAATCGGTTCACGCATTGCAGTGGAACTCCATGGGCCACTGGGCACCGAATATGGTGTGCGTCAAACGTATCCTTCGCTTCGTGGACGACTTGAAAGCCGCAGGTCAGCTGGAAAAGGCGCGGGAATGGCGCAGCCAGGCATTGGACATGGCCAGAGCTCTGCTTGGCGATAGTGACTATCTTGTTTCATACCTTTTCCAAATCGACATTTGAAAGATCCATGTTAGTGTACTTTCACCCCCCCCCCCCTCCCCCCTCCCCCTCTCTCTCTCTCTCGTTTGGAAAGATCCATAGCAGTGTGCCCCCACCTCTTTTCGAAAGATCCATGGCAGTGTACCCCCCCCCCCCCCCTCTCTCCACACCATGCTCAGTTGTTTAGAACATTATTTTTGTTTCACTTAACTTTAACACGGCAATAATCACATGCGTTACCCACGTCTTGCAACACGATTGTGCTCTAGTGTGATCTTTTCCTAGGTGCATTGTCCAACATTATGCATGATAATTCAATTACATTTTATAATCGTACAGTTGAGTGTGGATCAATAATATAAAATGACACGTCTCTAAGAATAGTACATGGCGGAATGATGTGATGGGCACTGCTGGGGTAAAGGTACCAGGGTCCACCTTACTTCGTTTTTCTTACCTATTTATCATCTTTGTGTCTTTGTACACGGTTTCTTACCATGGTTGGATGTATTTACAGCCGTACAGCATCACTATCGCGAGTTGTTTGCCACCCAACTCCGGCAATCAATCTTTCCAGAAACAACAAAAGTACACGTCTCCAATACTAGTACAGTCTCCTATAGTAGTACAGGTCTGACCACCTTTAAAAAAAAACTGTACATGTATTGGGGATAATACTACATGTACACAGATTACCAGCAAAGCACGGACAGCCACGCCAGGTTTAGGGGTCGTCGTAAAAAGGCTTCAGTCGTCCCTGAAACGAACATCGCTCATTCGTACTCGGCCACCCTCCCCACCATCCGAAATAAACACGGCTTGCTATGCTGGCCGGCGAAAATCTGTGCATCATGTACATGTATATGAACAGTGTCGGTTGGGGTTTTGGCTCAGCCCACCCCAATGAATGAGGTTCGTTTCAGGGACGACAAAAAAACCTTTGCGACAACCGCTTACTGCCACACACATATTAACCCACTGCTCAAGTGAAACTTGTGCAACGTGTTCTCACTACATGCAAAAGTCGTGTCTGTCTTGAAAAGTGAAGAGGTGCACACAGAGTTCACTCATGGCTGTACTTATGTTCTTGCATGATGATTGCCATAATAAAGCCTTCAAGGTGGACCACTTGCTTAATCATAAATCTACTGAAGTACATGCCCAGAACATGTTGAATAATATACATGTAAGGGGCCTTCTGTAAATACCGATACTTATTTAGAAACGAAAACTAGTCATTTCTCCTCAACCCTCTCCCCCCTCCTTGAGAAACGAATACATGCAAATGGTGTACTAGCTGTGCTAGTACTTGTTAGCAACAATCCGAACTAGCGCACACACTGCACTGCATTGCTTTGTACTGCATTCAAGACTGACGTCATGCGCTTTGTTTTGCTGCGTAATCACAAATGGCACCAGCCCATTTTGCGGAAAGAAAAACAAATCTTGCTTGCCCTGTTGTGCTCTTCCAGACAACGGATCGTGCTTCAGCAGTGTTTCTTTTCCTTTCGTAGCTTTGCTGCCAGCCCGAGTGTCACCTCGACACTGTATTTCTTCAGTATGTCTGACCTAACTGTCGACACTGTCAAGGCAATGCCTTGCCAAGCCCCCGCGGCGAGCCTTCTCAGCGCGGCTTGAATCCGAAAGGAAACTTAGTAAAAGTATTTTACAGGACCGTTTGCTGGCACACTAGCCCTTGGTAGTGAGGTCTGCTCCGGCCAGGAGAACCAGCAACATGACAGTGCGGACACGGCTCGCGAGCCCAGAAGCCCGACTTGCACCAATGCCTCCTCCGCCAGCTCAGGTGACGCGGGCTCAACATGGGATCTGCGCTCCCGTAGATCTACGTGACGAGGTGTAGTCGGCTTTGTCGGCCGCCATTTTATTATTATCGGAGAGCATTGTGCCGCTCCTCACCCAAGGCCAAGGCAATGCGGCTGCTGCCGCCACTACGCCAGGCCAAGCCCTTGTAACCCACCCGATCAGCCACCTGCACCAGCTGTGCCCAAGGCTGTGCAAGAACGTATCTTGCGAGGGGAGTTCGTAGATTTTTCAAGTTGGTTGCCTGAAATTCTTGCACACTTCCAGCCCAACATTCCGGCTGGTGCACAGCCCGAATAACGATAGCCAGCTAAATATCGTTGAGTCGGATGACCGTACGCGAAGCAGGTGCGTCGCAAGGTTCACGATAATTATACAATCATGTAACTACCCGGCTCGAGGCATGGACCACATACATGTCTGTTATCACGGCTGCTGCCCTACACCGCACTGCTGAACTGCTGAACTGATTGCGTACCAGCAGTTGATCCTGACTGCTAACCGCCAGTTCTTCCCAAGCGCGTGGCTAGAGTACGACCGCCAGCTGCGGCTGCTCGTGGCCCAGTAACCAGGCACGAAGAGGTTGGACACCATCGACGTGAACCTATGGCAGATAGCTGTCACAGGCCATGCACACCCAAAATGCGCTCAATGTAAGACGGCCCATCCAGGGGCGGTTTGTGTCCTTTTCGTCCCCAAGCCAGCAGCATTTACCTCCAGTGGTCGCAACCATCCCAGCGACAGCCAAGAAATCTGCCGCAACTTCAATGGAGGTCGCTGTTCTTCGTCGTCGTGCCGCTTCTCCCACACCTGCAGCCAGTGTGGCAAGGACCACCCATGCATCATGTGCAACCAGCAGCAGCGCGGAGCCAATCGGCCACCCCGCCGCTCCTAGCAGAATGGCTACCGAATAGCTTGACTCGGTACGTAGCTTCTTTCCTATACACTCTGCAGACACCACACTGCTAGCTGACCACTTTGCCCGCCTGTTACGTAACCACTCATATCAATAATGCGTTGCGTATGTTCTCCATGGGCTGCGCCGTGGCTTTACTCTTGGATCTGCCGGCCAACACGACATTTCGGTTTTCTCTAATAATCTACCCTTGGCTTTCACTCACTCGGCATTTATATCCGAGCAATTAGCTGCTTCCTGCGCCCGCAGCG